GAAGTTTCCAAGTGTAGTTGAATTACTTCCCTTTCTGGAAAACTTATTTTCAGGAGAACGTTGAGTCTGTCATAGAACAACTGGATTGGCTTAATCCAAATCAAAATGGAACTTTCTGGAATCCCCAGAATGCACCCTGTCTCCAAATACAGAGTTTTGTAACTCCAGTGTCTTCAGTAAGTGTGTATATGAACTTCCTTTTGCTCTTCCCACTGCAGGATACTTGAACTGCTCCATATGAGGAAGAGGCTGGTGTTGATGAAGGGAGGACTGCATCATTTAACAACTTCTGCTTCTTAAGTTTTGTTCCATTCCTTTAAATATTCCTAATGATGAGACTTTGGCAATTCTTCCTGTCCAAGGGACAGGGCCCATTGTTTCCCCTGCTCTGTGCTGTCTAGGTGCCTCCTGCAGGCTGTTTGTCTTCTCCCTATGCCCACAAAGCCTTACTAAAGTACCAATGATTGGTTTACTTGCCATAGTTGTAACATTTCTATATATGCCCTTTTCTTCTCTTTCTTTAACTGAAATCCAGATGGTAGCAAGTCAGAGGGCTTTGGATATGTTTGCCATGCTCTTTGCCTTCTTTTTTAAGATACAAGGTGGGTTTTCGGGGTGTGTTTTTTTCCCCCCTTTTGCTTTATTTTTGTCCAAGCAACTTTCTGTCTGGCCCTGCCAAAGCAATCTACAGTCCATTTGTTTTTTTTAACCTTCCATCAAGTGGAGCTCTTGCCATGGAGCAAGTTTTTCAGCTCCTACCTCTGTAATTTGCACAGACCAGCAAAAAACAAAACAAAAACAAAACACATTCCTTAAGAGTCAATTTGTGCAGGAAAAGCTGGTCTATTGTTTTATAAGAAACCCTTTTTTAAAAAAAATCGTATTTAAAATGTCCAGTAGTAAATGGTTGAGTTGCCCAGTATGAGCTCATCTTCTCTAGTAAATTTGTGCCTTGAGGGTGTCTGTATGTTTACATCTGTTCTTTAGTTTGCTTCAACGTGCATTGTGTTTAGAATAGAATACAGTGGGTTCCTTCCCCTGTTTTCCAGCCCTTCTCTCCCTTTTTTGCTGTGGACCAGGCCAAGCTTTTTATGAGGGGGCAGTGCCCATGCATTAAAACGTGTTTCTTCCTGGCCACAGAATTAGGTTCCTAAGGGCTAAGATTCCACTAAGCAATGTCAAACTTCTTTCCATTCCTTTGTGCCCCACCCCAGGGGCCTGAGGGTGCACCTGAGGTTGCTGTATAATGTCAGGTCTATTTTCATGTCTTTTCTTAGCTCTAACTGTAGTGTCAGCTGAAGAAACGCTGCTGTATGTAAGCGGTCCTGCCTGCTGTGCAGTTGATGGGCACTGGGCCATTAGTAACCGTCAGACGCAGCCTAGCTTTTATCACGTTTTACCAAATTGTTCACATGGTTTGAAATAATAAAAAGTAGAAAGAAAGCCTTCTTTGAACTGTGTTGCTTTTCTTCCATCGTTCCGAATATATTTGAGCGCAGTATTTCAGGGTGGGTTTTAATGATTGGATGATTTTCCTTGGCTCGTGATACAGGTTTGTTAGCTTCTCCTAGACTTTAAAAAAAAACCAAAAAACCTTGGAGATGTTTTTGACAACAGCTGCAAGATCATTGGATATTATGATTGAGGTACATGGGAGATGTAGCCCAAAACACTTAAAAAAAAACCCCACCACATTGCACATGCTCTCATTATAAAGTTGAAACATCCCTGTTTTGGAAACATGCTATCTTTTACTCCATATGTTTGGTCCTTCTAAAGAATTTTGTGGCCTGGGTGAGTGCTTGCTTTTTCTGAAATATGTAAACATGAGCAGAATGTCCCATAAGGTTGAAAGGAAAAATATAATTTTTTTTTTTAATTTGATTTATATGCCGCCCTTCTCCGGAGACTCAGGGCGGCTTACAATGCGTTAAGCAATAGCCTTCATTCTTTTGTATGTTTTATACAAAGTCAGCTTATTGCCCCCACAAACTGGGTCCTCATTTCACCTACCTTAGAAAGGATGGAAGACTGAGTCAACCTTGAGCCTTGGAGAGATTCGAACCAGCAGAAATTGCAGGCAGCTGTGTTAATTACAGGGTGCACTAAACCCCTGTACTATCAAGGCTCATTGAGCCTTCAAATTATGAATAATAATTAAATACAGAAAAGGGGAGATGTGTTATAATCTTCAAATATAGTTTTTCCTTAAATACATACAGTGACATATTTCAACATTTCAGTTCCAATATTTGAGGGGCTGCCACAAGAAAGAGCGGGTTCAAGCTATTCTCCAAAGCACCTGAAGGCAGGACAAGAAGCGATGGATGGAAACTAATCAAGGAGAGAACCAACCAGAACTGAGAAATGACAATTCTGATAAAACAATCAGTGGGACAATTTGCCTCCAGAAGTTGTGGTTGCTCCAACACTGGAGATTATTAACAACATATTGGACAGCCATTTGTCTGAAATGATATAGGGTTTCCTGCTTGTTAAGGGGGTTGGACTAGAAGACCACCAAGGTCCCTTCCCACTCCGTTATTCTATGGTATATGTTCCTCCTTCGGTTTATAATCTAGATAGACAGATCAAAAGATTTGTGTTATAAGGAAATACTGAAGAAAGTACAGAAACCTCTGGTCTTCCCACATGCTGCAGTGAAGTATTGGCCCTTGAATTTCTGCCAGGGCATCCAGCATGTTGGCTGCCTCTCCTTGCTTGAACTAGTAGGAGGCATTAAGAGAAATGTCCTTGCTTTTCTTGTTTCTTATTTTCAAGAAAAGCATTTGGTCAGAGATTTTAACCTGAAAATACCAAAAATCAATCATAAGGCAATATACCAGGATTGTTCCTACTGTACCTTTATGGAATTGTCCACGATGCACACATAATTTGGTGAGAGGTAAAGGAAGACTTAAAAAAAAGATTCTGTAATAATGCATTTTATCAGATGTTCTGGAAGATGAAACAAAACAAATGTATGAATTTTTCAGCAATATGCTTATCATCCAAGTTTTCTTGGATGTTGCAAGTATTACAATCTATTAAACAGCTGTAATACCCAAATTGAAATATACACACTGATACAGAAATATTTGAAATAATATGCTGAATGCATACAGTATTATCTGACGTTATTTGAATGCAACACATAAGCCATATATAACACTTGTAGCTTGGTCCTAGTTGTTTGTACATATTTTTCATAATGTTCACAATGCAAACAGTCATTTTTACTTATTTTTTGCATTCAATTTGCACTTAATAATGGAGGACCTATTACAGTATAGCAAAAAGAAAATTGGAACCACAGATGAGTTTGCCAGTAGCAAATAATATTAAGTGACTTGACCAATACCTTCCAAGATGAAGGGTCAAATTCATGACTAACAAGTGGAAGCTACCATAAACTTCAGTTACCTGTATGTAACAAATAGTTACACACACACCCTTTAGTTGTTATGGTATGTGTTAGGGATGACTATCACCAGATTTGAGGAGGCTTCTATTTGATCTTCATCAGGCAGCCTTCTGACTGGCAAGTCTGGTCTCATTACTGCTCCTTTCTGTTGTGAACAGATTGAGCAAGTTTGTCACAGAAGCTCCCAAATGTACAAAACTAGAAGAAAAACGGGTCCAAAATACAATGCATAGTTTCGATAATCGCCATTTTTCCACTCATTCAGAGAAAACGGTGTCGTTAACGAAAAATCAAGGGTGAACAAGGAAGACATTAGCAGAATTAGCCAGTATCAGCAAGCAGGTTCATTGTTGAGGCAAGGCCACACATGCTAACAGCTTTTATCCCTTAGAGGCACAGCTGTGGTTCAGATACTGGAAGAAAGAATTTGCTGGCCTGCTTTTCCTGCTGAAAAATGAAGAAATGTCAAAATGCAAGCATACCACAGTTGGGAAACCTCTAGTAGCAGATTTTTCTAATGGTAAAAAAAAAAAAAAAAAAAAGATTGGTAAGCTAAACATGACTTATATAGCCCAACTCCTGGAATGGAACACGTATTTTTTCTTGACTCTGGATAATTATTTCAGGTTGTATTAATTTGCAGAGGAAAAAAAACCCTCTAATGTGGGGATTATTGCCCTTTTACTTAGCTGAATTGACAATGCTGATTTGAATCGAGATGAGCAGGAATGTCTGTAGAAAGGGTTTATTACATAGTCAGGAGGACTGAGATCCTACAGTCTGGCTTCATTTTGGCTCCATACGTTGTATTCTTTCAGTCCCTCCACCTTCTGTGAACATCAGAGGAGGTCAGCTGGATCAGGCATTTAATTCTGAGTCTGCTTGACATCATTGTTCATACAATGCCTTGAAGAAGAACACAAGCAGAGCTAGAAGTCATAGATTTCTGTGGAAACATTCAGAACAAGCTGCAAACCCTCTTTGATTGTGCAGGTCCTACCTACTGTAAATCTCTGTGGCAATCCCTCAATGCCAATAATTTCTTTCACTCTAATCACAGGGGTCTGTAATTTTTCATTGCAGTTTTAATAATGCCCAACTGACCCAAAATTTCACCCCTGAAATTTAGTGGCAAATTGCTTAATTTCATTTACCAGGGTTTCCTTTTTACCCCTTTTAAACATGAGATGCCCAAGCTAGACAGCTGTCATCTAGCTGTTCTGAATTTACAATAAAAAGGAACAGACTTTCCAGGTTTCAAAAAATCCCTAAAAGGCCTGAAAATTCCAAACCCAGTGTTTCCACTGGTATTAGACATTACATCACTGTTGCAGTGTTTGCAGAAGAGAATAACAGCTGGAATATATATTTCCAAGAACTGGGAAATTTACCCTTTTTGCTTCTCCCAAATAAACTGGGAGAGCCCTTATTGCAACTTGCCATTTGATTATATTTGATAAGGCTCAATTTGGATATCTTGAAGGTTCTCCATTATCCTATATATGCACTTAGATAAAAACCTGGCTTGAACATTGGCCTCAATTCCACACACACACACCTTGTTTCCCCCCCCCCACAAAACTTGTCTGAAGGGTTCTTGACACTTTTACAGAAATTTTGTATAACTTTAATTGGCTTAAATATATATGTTGCTTCAATGAACAGGGTTTTTATTCAAGGTAAGTCCCCCTCATCTTGCCTTCCATATCTACCCACCCATCTTATCTTGCCTTACCAGAGCCAACCAAGTTAGGAAAAACAAACACTTGCAATCAGAAGAGGCCACAATCCTTCAGATTTTCCTTGATGATGATGTCAGTGACAGCATCAAAGACAAACTTGACATTTTCTGTGTCTGTGGCACAGGTCATATGTGAGTAGATTTCCTTCACATCCCTTCTCATATTCAATTCCAGGAATTGGACTTTGATATAGGCACCTGCATCTTCATATGTATTGGTCCCTGCAGAGAGATGGGTGGTAACAAAGGAATAGCTTCACCTATAGAGTAACATAAGCCCTCTTGGCTCAGAATATTGTTCCTTTGTCCAGAATGAGACAAAACATCATACTGAGGAAATGATACCAATCCAGGGGTGAAATCCAGCAGGTTCTGACAGGTTCTAGAGAACCGGTAGCAGAACTTTTGAGCAGTTTGGAGAACTGGTAGTGGAAATTTTGAGTAGTTCAGAGAACTGGCAAATACCACCTCTGGCTGGCCCCAGAGTGGGGTTGGAATGGAGATTTTGTCTTATCCTTCCCCTGGAGTGGGGAGGAAAAGGGGATTTTGCAGTATCCTTCCCCTGCCATGCCCACCAAGCCACATCCACCAAGCTATGCCACACCCACCAAGCCATGCCCACAGAACCGGTAGTAAAAGAATTTGGATTTCACCATTGTACCAATCTATACTAAGCAGAATCTTAGTACACTGAACATTGCAGTTGTTGAGAAGTGTTTGGTATTCATTGCTGAATGGTCAACTACATTGTACAGAGCTTCCCTCCCAGGGAATAGTCTACCCTTGATAATAAAAACTTTCCTATTTTATTGATCGTCACCCTCCGACATCACTTATCTCTGAATGCTTGCAGAGTAGGCATTCTGGAAGTATGACTGACTTGACCAAGCACATGGGGCTTCTACTGCCCTTTTAGTGATTGAAAAACCTCTCAACACAGTTTATTAACTTTTTGAGAAGATTCGTTGGGTCAATTGCCCAACACTCTTAGCAACTTTGCACTCTCCATTACGTTGTCTTTTCTTCCAGGATTGGAACAACTGAGAAGGCATCTCTGCAACAATAACATGGGCGCCTCCTCTCAAAGATGGTTAAATTTACACTGTAAAACAACAAATACTGAACACACAAATGTGTTCCTAGAAGAAACAGCCGATAATAACAAAATTCTGGTTTACGTGGCAGAAAAGTATGCCCTATTTCACAGAGGACTGAGGCCCTCTAGTGTTTTATTTTTCAAAACAAATGTCTTGTAATAAAGTAATGTCCTGTCCTCATGATCATGTGGGCGACAGCAAAAGAAATAGAAGATAACTTGCTTTTTCCACCCAAAATTGTTTGTAGTAAGACCAAGAAACCAAATGCAAAGGTTTGAATTACTTGTAACTTTGGATGACATGAACAAAACTAATCGCCCTGTCATTTATATGGTTGTCAAAATTCAGCTGCATCCATCCAAACAAGTATATCTTTGTATAGAAAGTCAACAAGTTAACAAGGATAGGTGTAAATACAAGAGGGGAGTGAGAAATCATTCTCACTGATTTAGGCCCAGTATAATGCTGACCATATAATAGAATAGTTGGAAGGGACCTCGGAGGTCTTCCCAGAGTATATTAAGAGTAGCTGGTGTTCAGGGCACTATTTTCTCCTCCACAGGGAGAACCTGTGCAGATAAAGATGGAAGAACGAGACTATGGTTGTTGATAATTAAAGTTCATTTTTATTGCTGATTTCTTTCCTGGTCATGGAACATGATAATTTCCTGTCTGGCTTTATCTAAATCAGCCTTCCCTAAATTGGCATCAGCCAGATATGGTGTACTACAACTTCCATCGGTCCCTGCCAGCATAGCTGTTGCTCAGCAAACCAATGGAAATTATGATCCAAACATCTGAAGGAAATTAATCCAGTAGAGCAGAGCTAAGGACCTGCTCCTTTCTCTTTGGAATCTTAATGATCATTTTATAGAATGCCAAAACCAGATACCATCCTTTAGGCAGTCAGGTTTTAGCCTGATGACCTATATAATATTTTTTGTACTTTCCATGCTACCTAGTGTGACATTTATATGTTTCTACATCACTGTACAATTGACTGGAAGTGTAAGACTCTACTTCCAAGTATGTCCTTTCCTTGAGGAGCCCTGCACAGACGCACATCCCCAAAATGCTGCCTCTGAAGCCTCCAGACTTGCAATCCTGTGCAGGGAAGGTGGAGGTTTGCTCCGAAGCTGCAGCAGAGCGTTGCACTGGGAGATCCCTGCAGGTAACATTTCTGAAATGTTAACTTTTAACACCTCCCTCTGCGCTTCTTTGGCACAAGGAAATGACGATTGGCAGGAAAATGGGGGGGGGGGACCTGTGGGGAGTTCGGGGAGTTGAAATCCCCGAAAGTCTTAAAGTGGCCAAGCGGCTGGCCATGCTGCTGTTGACCTCGCGTGGGCACTTCGCTTTCCTGGCAGTGCTGCTCTCGGCCACCCTGCTGGACTGCTCCTGCCTGGGGTATTGAAAGCCAGGGCGTGTCACTGCGTTATTTTATTTACCAGCTGAGCTAATTATTTCTGGACTGTCAGCCTTTCCGTACCTTGCCAAGAATTGTTATCAAAAGCTACTACGCATGTCCATCTACCCACATTCTTTCACATTCCTTCACACACTTCTTCCTTTTGTTCTCATGCCACGGGGGTGTCGACTGCTGGAAAGCAGCCGGCCCGAATTACTTTCAAAATGTAGCAATTAACTTTCTTAGTTAGTGAGGTGTTTTATTTTCTTTATAACAAATAAATGAGTTTTATTAGAGAACTTTTCTTCGCGTTTCTTTTCAGAATATTGCAAACTTGGAAGAGGCCACGATCCATCTCCTCTAATCAGGGTGATCGTCCCAGAGCCAAAAATGGGATTAATCAATGCCCTGACAGGGCGTGCCAAGAGCTAGGCCTGTTTTAGCTGGTAAGCAGACAGTGGGATGGAGAGGGCGGGGCCAGTGCTAGCTGCACTCCCATTCCAGTCAGCCCCTGCACTCGCCGCCTCCTGCACGTCAAAAAAATAAGACCTCCCCAAAAATAAGCCCGAGTGCTTATTTTCAAGCCCAAAAGAAAATAAGAGCATGTCTTATTTTGGGGGAAACACGGTATATCCACACAAGCATGCATGCTGCTGACTGGACCTCACCTTCATAATCCGGGAAGCAGATGCTGAGGTGGGCCTTCTTGATCTTTTCCAGGAAAACATCTTTCTTATTGAGGAAAAGAACAATGGAAGTGGTGGCAAAGTATCGGTGATTGCAGATGCTGTTGAAGAGGTGCAAACTCTCGTGCATGCGATTCTGAAACAAGAAACAAAAAGCCCAGGGTGCTTTTGGTTCTCCTTATTCAGTTTCTTTAGCTGATTTCTCCCAGCTTACCAAATTTGGTTCCACTATAGTCTCTATTCAGCAACTACCTTTCAGCAACTAAAGATGTGCACACAAAACAAACAACTTTTCCCTAAAACCCTTATTAGAAACAGAAATTTTATTTTGGGATGAATCTGATAAAACTTTCCTAAATTAAAGATGATTTCCTTACTGCCTGTGGTGGGATTCCTATGAAAGTAAAAAAGCAAATGAATTTTGTGTGTGTGTGTGTGTGTGTGTCTGCCACAATTGTCAATTGATCCCTATGATTTTTATTTTAGCTTAGTTGTGTATAGTCCCCACCCTTCTCCATTATCTACAACTCATAGAATGGTATGAAACTTGTGAAACTTACCTTCAGGTTATAGCAATCTCCTTTTCAGAAGTAAAGAATAAAATAGTATTTCAGAAGTATTTCAAAATAAAAAAAACCTTGCCCCTTTAAATCTTGATTGAAAAATGTGTAATATCTTGAATAGAATAGAATAGAATAGAATAGAATAGAATAGAATAGAATAGAATAGAATAACAGAGTTGGAAGGGACCTTGGAGGTCTTCTAGTCCAACCCCCTGCTTAGGCAGGAAACCCTATACCACTTCAGAGAAATGGTTATCCAATCTCTTTCATTTGCTATAATCAGAAGAGTTGGAAGATAATTTTGGATGCTCCTTACCACTTCATCATCTTCCACCAGGACCATATCATAGGCGCTGAGAGCAGCAATGAAGATGATGCAGGTGACGCCTTCAAAGCAGTGGATCCACTTCTTGCGTTCTGAGCGCTGGCCTCCGACATCAAACATCCTGCCAGGAAGTTGAGGAATTGGTGTGATCAAGAATTTTAAAAGAAATGCTTTAATTTCATATTTTTATTTAATTCACAATAGAGTAGTCCTCCCATAATGATCGGTTACTTAGCGATTGTTCAAAGTTATAACAAACACTTCCCCTCCAAAGCTACTTATGACCCAGTTCTGGAATTCCAATGGTCACTCACTCACTCACACACACACACACACTCACATGACTGCATTTTGGCAACCTACTCGCCTCTATTGATGGTTGCAGCATTCCACCGTCATGAAATCTCACTTTAGGGCGTTCTTTTCCAGTTTGATCTTTTTTGCCAGTTTCTGGCAAAAGCACCCATAGAAATGAGTGTATTTGCTTAATGACCATGGCATTTGGTTTACAACTACAGTGGCATTTGCTTTATGACCACCGTATTGACATAGTGACCTCCCCCAAAAATGTAAAATCGGCTCAGTCATGTAGCTGCCTTAACTTATGACTGGCATGGTGTAACATGGAAATTCCAGGCTCCATTACAGGCATAAGCTGAGCAGTACTTGTACCTGTTTTGAATATTCGAAACAGAATAGCCTAAAATAATAGAAACCTCAATTTGTCCATTTCTTTTAATTCAGTTCAGACTTGAAAACATACATACCCAAATATCCATATTAAAGAAAATATTTCACTTATTGTGGAAAAGTCTTAAAAGTTATGTTAGGAAGAATGCATGGAAAAGCGCATTTCTTCTTATGTTGATGTTTTAAAGGCAAATTTGCATCCAGCACAGAAACAGACCGCAACAAAGACAATATTGGCAGAAGAGAAATTGACTAAACAGAAATGGACAGAACCAGAATTGTGACTTGTGAATACTTTACTGCACTTCTCATGATGAACTGGCTCTCCCACTTCAGCGCTATTCACAAAAGAATTATACCAGAATGCTTCAAGTTTATATTTTCAGAGAAGAAGCGAAATTATCTGTCTGGCAGGATTTAAAGCTGCAGGGCCAATAATAGTTTTGCAGAGAAAATAAGTCCTGCTATTTAATTAAGAAAATCAAGGCGGCTCACTCAAGGACAGATGTGAAAAAACAAGTTGTCTGAAGGAATTGTAGAAAACCAATTGAGAAAGAATTTAATGGGATGACAGGTAAAGGGGGTTAGAAATGATGAGTGTGGGGCAGAGTAAGCAGTAATCTGAAATGCAGGCTCAGAAAATAAAGAGCACTGGAGTGTATCAGTCATATTTCCAAAACTAAGCTAACCGTAGGAGGGTAATGTATTATAGGAACACACACACATACAAAAAAGATTCACGAACTACGAAACCAACGCTGATATTACATTTGAACCAAAATAGATCAGGCAGGGGTTACATTAATCCAGTATTTCTCAACCTTGGCAACTTTAAGACGGGTGGACTTCAGCTCTCAGAATTCCTATGATGGGAGTTGAAATCCACTCATCTTAAAGTTGCCAAGGCTGAGAAACACTGGGTTAATCTCATTTAGTCAATCCCATTACCTGTCTACCTGATGGAGAAGTAACTGAAGATGCTACTGGTAGGACTCTCCTTAAGGACTCCTGGGGATTTCATGCACTTCCTGGAGCAAGCCTCCCTAAAATGGTGACTTTTATCCCAGTCACTGAATTGGTATGCTTTCACAACCACTAGTGAAAACTTGGACTGGGTTAAGCATATGGTGAGCCCAGGAAGAGGAAGTAGAAATAAGGGGAAAGGGAACCAACTCTCACATAGAATCTAGAGGCAGACAATGTGCAAGTAGGTAGGAAGGAAGTGGTCAAGTAATGGGGATTTGGAAAGCTGGGAACTGTGGACCAAGACTGATTGGGCAGAAAGATCTGGCAAGGAATTTCTTCATTGGGCGCTGGAACAACTTTGCATATTTCACTGTCAACTCTGACAGCCAAGGAAAAGGTCAAAGGCGAGAGATTAACAACCTGCAAATTCTTTGACTACCCTTTTTCATAGTAGTTCAGGTCAGGAGTTGTATTTTCCCAGCTGCTGCTTTCAGCTACAACCTGGGATGAACTGCAAAAGTATCTCTCTTTTTAAATAAGATCTTGAAATAGAATTCTGTATTTTATCAATTTAATTGAAATAGAAAAATAAGGAAATGCAAGCTACACATATGGGGGAAAAAAAGAGTCATTAGGAAAAGCCCCATCAAGGTGTACTAAAGAAGTGAAGGGCTATTGAAGAAAATAATAAAATGCCTTTGAAAATCTCTTTATTCAGATGGAAGTTTGGTTATTTGAAGCCTGCATCAGTAGGGGGCAGTGCATCCTCACAAAAATAAAAAGTGGTTTTATTAAACTTTCATATTCTTTCCTGGATAAGTGCACATGAGGTATTTCAGACAATGCAGATATGATCAGTTTTTCATCGTCATCGTTGTCTTTCTCTTGTTTCCTGTTCACTAGCTGTTCTAGATTATCAGATTACTTCTAGTCTTCAGTGTTGATTTCTGTCTGTTTCCAGGGCTCGGTGTGAAAGATTAATGTATATGATCTGAATTTCAGATACTATGCTCTGAGAAGACACATTCCCTCCAGTTTTTTAAATTGTTACTATTTTTTTTCCTCATGTTAAAAGTGGAAATTTATGTTCCATCTTTTCTTCTGGAGTTCAAGGAGATCTTTATCCCCAACAACAATGTGAATGGCCTAAGTGAATGGCTGGCCCAAAAATCACTCAGTGAAATTTTTTTTTTAATTTGATTTATATGCCGCCCTTCTCCGAAGACTCAGGGCGGCTTACAATGTGCTCAGCAATAGCCTTCATCCTTTTTGTATATTTATACAAAGTCAGCTTATTGCCCCCACAACTGGGTCCTCAATTTACCTACCTTAGAAAGGATGGAAGGCTGAGTCAACCTTGAGCCTTGGCGAGATTCGAACCCATGGGATGAATTCGATTCCATGGGATGAATTATATCAACCATTTTTCTTTACTATAGAAGCCTTTAGCAAAGACTTTCTTGAATCCTAACCCATCACAAAACAGAATTTCTGATTCATCTCACATGCCAATAGAAATGGTGACCAGGAGGAGAGACTGCAGCTCCTAACCAGCCATGACACATACAAATCACATATATCCACACCCACTTAGCCTTTTATCTTCTATTGTCCAGTGAACAATTTTGAACATTGAAAATCTTAAAAAAACATTTTCTGACTTATTGAAAGTAAGGCTATTAGACTCAGATGATGATCTGCTTATTGGTGGATCACTGATTAGGACAGTGATTGCGAATCTTTTCCGCACTGAGTGCTGAAAAGGAAGTGCGCACAGCACCAGGTGCTGAAAAGGGAGCACTTTGCGCACACGCTTGTCAGGGTCACAACCAGGAAGAGGAGCTGCCCAGGGGGGCATGCGCGTGCCAGATAAGGTACTTCCGATTTCCAGCAAGTCTTCTGGTTTCTGGCACACATGCGCATGCACTGATCGGCTGGCCAGCACGCATGCTCACACCGGAAAATGGAAGACCAGTTTTTCTGGTTTCCAGCACTGCTCCATGCACAAAGGCCAGCTGATCATCACGTGCGCGTGTGCGTCAGAAACCCAGAAGAGGAATGGGCGATGCTGTGTGTGCCAGGCGACATGGCTCTGTGTGCCACTTCAGGCATGCGTGCCATAAGTTTGCCATCACAGGCTTAGGACATACAATACCTGAAGTGAAGATCCTTGAAGGAAAACTGGGTTTCAATGATCCCGGTGGTCTTAACTCTAGAGCGGAGAACATCCTGCTCTGTGGGAACATATCCAGGAGTTACCAACCGTGCCACATCATTCAGGTAACTGCAGACATAGAAATATAGTTCTATAATGTAATTGATGCAGAAAAAACTTGGATCTTTCAGCTTCGCTCTCTAAGATATTAGGTAAACTGTGGGATTTTGAAATATCGGGCCTCTTTTTTTCTTGAAGAAAAGTGGGGTCTGAAAGAAACAGAATTTTTAGGGAGAATATTCAGATAAGATCACTTTTGGCAAGGAGGCCAGAGAATCCCAGGGAACATTTCTCTTCCCCTCACACCCACTCAGAGAAACCATCCAGTTAAGGTCCTCTGTATGTCTTATATGGGTTCCTAGAAGGAAGGGGATGGTACACATTGCCTACTGCAGTGGTTGAAAGTTGCCACTTTGGCTATAAAACTACTCTCCTCTGACTCTGTATTCCATTACATCTGCCTGTAGTGTGGGAACAATCTTTCTCTTTCCACCTGAGGCAGATATATAGGAATTCAGCTGGTTAAGCAAGCATCAGTCCTGAATAAAATGAGAAAAGAGACATATGCCCCATCTACATCTAGTATCTTCCATTGTAACTAAGCCATGCTGGGAATCATCCTGAACACTCATAATAATCTCCGGATCCAAACTATGACCTCCATTTCAAAGTTTCTAAGTCAAGATCTCCTACTAGCCAGCCGAGTCATTCAACTGGAACTCTGAGGCTCTATCGAAACAGGCCTGGATGCCCGTATCTTTCCAGAGTCGGTCAATGATGTCAGACATCTCCTTAGGCATGGTGCCCTCTTCAATAGTATCCGCTAAGTGCAGCAACATGCGGGAATCATCCTACAATTGAGACAGAAGATGAAGTTCAATCAATGAGACTTTCCTGAGAGATGGAGAGGGAGGGGGAAAGGGATTCTCACTGAAAAGAGTAATCTGGGCAAAAAGAGTTAGAATGATGATTGCTTTGAGTTTTGAGTTTGTTTTGATTGCTTTGAGCTTTGAGTTTCTCTGACCTGCATTCTTTTTGTTATCTTTGGAATTAATTTCTCTGGATCTTTGTATCATCCCAATTCTCCAAGTCACATTAACTGTTCATTACCCATTGCCCATTTCCATTTCCTTTAATTTTTATCAGCCATTTTTGTTGTGGAAGATAATTTTTAATAATGCTTTAACTTTGAATGATTGTTTTATAATTTTATAATGATAGTTTTTATATATTTATTATGACTAGAGCAGAGGTCTTCAAACTTGGCAGCTTTAAGACTTGTGGACTTCAACTCCCAGAACTCTTTCCAGAGTCGGTCAATGATGTCAGACATCTCCTTAGGCATGGTGCCCTGGAATTCTGGGAGTTGAAGTCCACAAGTCTTAAAGCTGCCAAGTTTGAAGACCTCTGGACTAGAGTCACTTCTGGTGAGATGAGCTGCCATATAAGTTTGATAAATAAATAAAAGCCCAAAGAACAACGAGATATGAACATAACCATTCCTCATTGACCAACCTGTCTGGCTGGGTCTCCATATTGGATGTTCAGGATACCCATTGCCCTCACTATGGACAGCATGGACTGCAGGGTGTTGCTGTAGATAATGGAGATGAATTCCAAGCACTCTTCTAAAGAATAACCATCTTTATGGATAATTCTATGGAATATAACAACAGAAAATCAATCCAGAAGTTCTCAGGAATATTAGGTGCTGGCTGGGGAATTTTGGGAGTTGAAATCCATAGATCTTAAAGTTGCCAAGATTAAAAATCACTGCACTAAGTATATCTGAGGAACTCTGAACAAAATGCAACTGTCTCTTTTTCCTCTCCTAATTCCTCGGGCAAATTACTTGTTTTAGAGAGACCTAGCTTCTCATTCATTTTTCCTTGAATGTTTTATTATAACTACCTCCAGATTTCTTTTTCTTTTTCTGTTATCAAGGGAGATTGCAATCCCAAGATTCTCAAGAACGGAATTCCATTAGATACTTTGTAAATCTAATTCACACATAATGCTAAATTTGAATGCTAGTACATGGGATTTGTTTGCTTTTTCTTTAACACAAGGTGTGATACCAACTTTTCTCCTATAATCAATCATGGCTCTTCATTGGGATGGGCTTATATAACACAGTAGGCCCCAAAGCAACCAATTGCACGAGGGCTTTATGGTGTGTGAATCTTTTGAATTATATCTTTAACAGATATATTTCTTGATTGCATACATAGTTGGTGTTTTGATGTATACCCAACACTTTTTATACATGCACCTAAAAACATAGTATGCAAAATAAAGACTTCTTTAAATAATGGTAAATGATGAATGATTACATGGGGACATCGCATACAGTTTTGTATAACATTTATTTCCTACTGTAGTTTATAGCCCTATGTGGTATAGCTACAGCTAAGCATATATCTTGATCATCCTCATATTTTAAAGTACAATCAAACTCAGTTAAGTTTTGCAACTTATTGGGTAGACCTAGAATAAATAAGAATATAAGGTGGCTGTTGGGATATTGGTACATTTTCAATTTCCTCAAACATGAAGCATATAGAGAAAATATACAGAGAGCAAGGATGCCATCATTTTACACACTATTGTGGTTTCTCCTCCCCCTCCCCGGATTAGGGGAAGAGATTTCCAAGCAGAGCAGTTACACACCAGTCTTACTTTTGAAGGATGCCAATGGTATTGATACAGGCCTCATTTGCATTGCTATAAAATTAATAAAGATCTTGCTAGAGGCTACTTATTTTATGGAATCCATTTTATTCATTTAGTAAAACAATCTTTTAAAATAAGTTGGGTAGACAGATTCAACACTTCCTATGAGAAAGACTTCTTATGGATAGAATTTGACAATTGCAATGGCAAGAATGTCTGGGAATTGTTGGAAGAAGACTTACTTCATTTGCTTGACTATGGTGCTTTTCCCCGATTCTCCAGCTCCTGGTGGAACAAAAAATAAAAAGAGACTAAACTCAGGGGTGAAATCCAGCAGGTTCTGACAGGTTCTGGAGAACTGGTAGCGGAAATTTGGAGTAGTTTGGAGAACCGGCAAATACCACCTCTGGCTGGCCCCAGAGTGGGGTGGTAATGGCAATTTTACAGTAGCCTTCCCCTGGAGTGGGAAAGGAATGGAGATTTTGCAGTATCCTTCCCCTGCCATGCCCACCAAGCCACACCATGCCCACCAAGCCACGCCCACAGAACCGGTAGTAAAAGAAAATTGGATTTCACCACTGACTAAACTGTATTTGTTCCCAATTCCCAGTGCTTTCTATATGGCACCAAATTCAAATTAACATCAGACTTTTGTAGTCTTAGATTTGTTCTGAATTTTAAAAAATTGGTCTTTCCAAAAAATCCTTGATGGACTCTCCTCAATAATTTTGCACTTTTTTTAAGAATGAGGTGCCCAAGAATGGGGAGAGAAATGTTAATGGATCAGATCAATTACCTCCATTAACATACATAGAGGTTTGAGTTGAGAACTGGCAATTCTGAGAGAGAGGGGGAAGGAAGGAGGGAAGGCATTAGGGAGGGAGGGAGGGAGGGAGAGAGAGAGAGAGAGAAAAAAAAAGAGAGAGAGAGAGATCATTTGTTTTCTTCTTCAAGTTGCTCTGAAGCTAGTCCTCTTGCTGTAGCATTCCTAATGGTCAAGTATACATATTAAAAGCACAGTGCATATTAAATATACTCCCTTTTCTGCAGAACATCCTAAATCATCAGCTGACTCTGCAAATTCTCATGTAGCAGCATTCCTAACGCTCCCACACTGCAGCTTGATCTCTCCTTCCAGGTTGCATCTTTTTTTTTTTTAATTTGATTTATATGCCGCCCTTCTCCGGAGACTCAGGGCAGCTTACAATGTGTTAAGCAATAGCCTTCATACTTTTGTATATTTATACAAAGTCATCTTATTGCCCCCACAAACTGGGTCCTCAATTTACCTACCTTTGAAAGGATGGAAGGCTGAGTCAACCTTGAGCCTGGGGAGATTTGAACTTGCAGTAATTGCAGGCAGCTGAATGTTAATAACAGGCTATTAGCCAGCTGTGCCACCAGGCCCCTTTTCCATCCTGGACCTTCTGATCTAGCCTACATTTGGTTTTTCAAATGGCAATTTTTTTTTCTGTCAATACTCTGGTTTTTTTCTCTTATTGGTGATCCATCGCCCACCACGCTCTCTCCTACATTGGCCACAAATCTCTGCCTGACACTCCCTTGTGCTTCCTGGCTGCTTCTCCTATCTCTTCCATACAGAGAGGAATCCCTACTAGATATTTTGCTGCAAAAAAGAAAGTAGCTATCGCCTTCCACTTTATCCAGTTAAGCTCTTTGTTGTTCAACCTTCCCTCCCTGCTTGCGGCAGAGAGAGAAAAACACACTCAGTTCTACTTTCAAACTCCATTTTTCCACTTCTGCTTTTTTGTCACAGTCTTGTGGCCGACTGGATCAATGCTTCCATCTGTCTCTTCCCCACCCTCTTTTTTTGTAGGTCTTTTACACTCTCCTAAGTTACATTTCATTTGTGCCTCATTACACTTTAGAATAATAAGGCCTTTTCGTTTAGAAATCTTTAAACTCTTACCTGGTTTCCCATTTAACCAAAACACCACCTTATTTTGCTTCTTAATCCCTTTGTTGTATTTATTTTGACCCCGTCTGTGGAGACTGTAATCTCGCTGATTTCTTTTTTAAAACAGCAGCAGTTTTATAATAAATTCATTACAGATTCAACCATTTTGCAATTGGATTCAAATGATTTTTCAACTACTGGGCAAGCTCAATCTGTCAGCATCTGATTTTTAACTCTACTAATTACTCCTAAACTTGAATTGCAGCTACTATCATATCACTCATTAATTTTAAATACTTACAGTGAGCATTAAACCATTTTGATGTGGTGGTTAAGATCCAGGATTGGAAGTGGAAAGATTCAGATTCAATTTAGTGTATTTATTTTCCTATTTCCTCAGCCAAATCTAACTCACTGGGTGGTTATTATAGGCTTCTTTCAGCAGCCAACAGTATATTATAAGAATTCCATTTGGGAAGAGGGCTTAAATCTAGCATGGACATTTTTTTCAGATAGTTCAGATAGCATTTCATACCAGCCTTATGTGCAAATCTTTCCAATATTCCACACTGATGTCAGCTTCACCTACTCTTTGACCTAGTATGGAGATTCCCTCTTTCCTCCTGGCTTCATATTTGATCAAACTATCTTAATTCTTTTTTATCTTCAAACTTTGGCAGCTGGGTTAGGAAATACAATGTGTTGTTTTTTTTAAAAAAAAATTATTAAACAGTTTTCCTCATTTTATATCACAATTTCGATTTTTACAGTGCTCCGGTATCAATATATCTCCTAAGTACATACAAATTATTTTCATTATTCTTCCTTTCCTTTTGTGTACATATCTATTCTATACAATGCATCAATATTGCAATTACATACCTATATATATTACCCTTTATTGTCACATCTTAATTTACTTTTACATTCTTATTCTTTGCTTCTATTCTCTAACCAGTTATACCATGTGTCCCAAAACAAATAGTATTCCGTTTCATCTCTTTATTTTATTTCCATTGTTAGCCTGTCCATCTCCGCACATTCTAACACTCTTTTTTTTCACCATCTACACACAATACTGGAAAAACGATAGTTTTCCCTCTGATGAAATGGTGATTTAAAAAAGGAAATACAATGTGTTAAAGAAGGAAAAAAGCAAAAGCAAAATATTTCATATATGATATTTCTAAAAAGTTAGCTTGAGCTAAAGACATGCTGGCCTTTTGACCTAATTTAAGTCCTTCCTTCCTTCCTTCCTTCCTTCCTTCCTTCCTTCCTTCCTTCCTTCCTTCCTTCTTTCCTCCCTCCCTCCCTCCCTCCCTCCCTCCCTCCCCCCCCAAAGGTTGTCTCTAAATGCTAAAGAACTTCTCTTTAGGACTTTTCCATCTTATATCGCAACAAGGGATCTGTGCAGGATTACCATCACCAAAGGTGTCAGGATAAAAAGGTCTAAGTCAGCCTTGGTCACCTTTCCAGGAGATAATAAGATAATGAGGTCTGGGCCATAGGCCAGCTTATCCTCAGTGCTTCATAGAAAAAGGGCAGCTCTAGCATACAAAGTTATGAAAACATCGCAGCTGAGGATGGGAAACAGAGGCATGCTGTCTCTTATCATGTACTGTGCGGAAGGCATAGGCTTATGGCAGTCTGGAATTCCAATCCCAACATCTGAATGGTCCAGTCAGACCAGAGAAGACTGAAGAACATTTCCCACAGGCCAGCCCTTCATTTAACCCCCTTAATAATGTGGGAAAAGGAAGTACATCGGCTGCACTAATTTGTGGGTTGGCTGGTATTGCCGATGAGAATGTTCATCAATATTCTGGAACAAAGTTGCTGAAAAAAATACAACTACGGCTCTCTTGGAGGTTATGGGAATGAGCCAATAACAGCATGCACTTCTGTAATTTTTAAATGCATCTTTCTCTGACAAAGAACCATTTCACAATGCCCGTTGTGTTTCCGCCTTTTCCTTATATTTCACTTGCAGCAATTGTTTGTATGCCTGTGCAACTCAGTGCAGTGTTACCAAAAAAAAGGAGCTGCTCAAAAGTAAATGGAGACGCAAGTTGTTTTAGATATTATATCCTGCTTTAATTTGGCATACTCTTTTAGCTCTACTGCCTGGGAATTCTTGAAAATATAATCTGAACACATCTACAGAACATGTGGTTTGGGAAAGCTGAGCTAACTAACCCGGTCAGCTTAGTAAGCCTTGCCAAGAATACAAGAGAAGGTAACCGTCCTTACAGTTCTTCAGTCCATCCTTCTCTTCATCTGCGCAAAAGTAGGGTACAGCTTCTATATTTAAAGCAGAGGATCTAGCAGAACTAGGTCTTGAAGGAGCAAGGATCCAGGGATATTTAAATGCATAGCCCCCAAATGATAAAGGAAATCAACATCAACATGCAGCAGGAGCTGGTGTGAGGTGCCTTAAGCTTCCCTCAGAATAAGCAATGTCTCAGCAGATGTACCTAGAAGGAATTTCTTTAAGTTCCCATTTCTCTAAAATGTGCAGGTATCTTTTCCTCTGATGTTTGTCTCATAAGTGAAGGGTAAGGCAGGCCCCCACTCTCCTGGCCTTCTGGGAAGATGTAAAAACATGGCTCTGCAGCCTTGTTTGGGATTGAGAATAGGACAGAATTATAGGGCTGGAAGGGAACTTGGACGTTTTCTAGTCCCAACTCCCTGCCCATGGCAGAAGACCTTATATTATCTTGGACAAATAGTTGTCCAAACGTTTCTCGAAAATCTCCAGTGATGGAGCATCCACCACTCGGGGTGGCAAGTTGCTTTGTTGGTTAATTGTTCTTACTGTCAGGAAGTTTCTTCTTTGTTCCAGGTTGGATCTCTCTTAAATGAGATTCCATCCACTGTCTTACTTTCAGGAGCTTTGGACAATAAGTTGACCCCCACCTCTCTGTAACAGCTTCTCATGTACTGAAAGACAATTATCATATCACCCCTAATTCTTCTCTTTATTAGGCTAGACATACTGAGTTCCCTTAACTGTTCCTTGTAGGATGCAGACTCCTTATCATCTTTGTCGCTCTTCTCTGCACTCTTTCTAGGGATTCAGCATCTTCTCTGTATTTTAGTGATCAGAAATGGATGAGGTATTCCAGGTGTGGCCTCACTAATGCAGTATAAAGCAGCACTGTAATTTCTCATAATCTTGAAACTATCCCTCTGTTGATGCATCCTAGGATGCATCAGCTTTTTTGGCAGCTGCAGCACATCGCTCACTCATACTTAAGTGGTGGCCCATTAGGACACCTGGAGCCCACTCACAGTCAATATTGTTGAACCAGGTACCACTATTCTACACCATGCATTTGGCTTTGCACAGGACTGCATGCTTACATAGGAGCATGCAGTTGTGGGGCTAGTTAGCACCTGAAAGATCTCCTCCCACCTTTTAATTATCTTTCATATTGATTTTTAATTCATTTTTGCCTTTTTAAATTTTATATACTGTTTTTATGGTTTGCTATTTTATCTGTACACCACCCAGAGTCCCTCTGTGAGGGAGAGGGGTGATTTTAAAATTTGATAAATAAATACAGTATAATAGAGATAAATCTTCATATGACTTGGATTAAAGCTTTGCCTTTTCATGAGTTCCTAATGTTGTTGTCCACTCTGCATGTACAGAAGATGGGACAGAAGACTTTCTGGGTTATGATTGCTCTGCTTCTGAATGAAATGCACCTGCTCTCCTTCCACCCAGGCAGGCAAATGAACGAGACACTGTAGGAAAAGGGAGGAAAAACTCTTTGATAGTGCCTGCCACAATGTGGACCAGGTCACTGTGACTTTCTTTGGAGAAGTTACTTACCAAGAAGCAACAGCTTAACTGTCCTGGCGTCCTTCTCAGCATCTTCCTTGAGTTTTTTTTCCAGCTCCCGAGAATGCTTTTCCTCCACACTTGCACCTGAACCCATCACCCAGTTGGGTTGGGTTTTTTTTGCCTTCAGTCAGTGAAAGGGGATTCCCAGGAAAGCCTTGGGAGGAGGCTCCAGTGCTTTCCTGTTGGAGATGCCTTCTTCTCTAACCCAGCCTTAAGTCAAGACAGATTCTTCCTTGTCTCTTGAGCGTCTTCAGTGCCTACTGTTGCTCCCTCCTTGAGCCAATACCAGCCACTTTCTGGCTTAGAGGGATTTTGCTGAAGTGGGAATCAGGTGTTCTGAAGCACCCAATGTGGAGCAAGGGCAACTGAAGAAGGGCCACATAGAGACAGCCCCAAGGTTTTCCCCAGGCTCTAATCTCGTGCTCAGTAGCTTAAGGGCATTTCTGAGATAATGCTCCTTCAATCCCCACACATGCTGAACTCAGCAGTTTCCATGTTTTCATCTGCTCTTGACCTGGACAAGCATCTGGAGAAGGAATACTCCTTCCTCCAAGCTCTGCCTTCTCCTGCCATGCTAATTGCACCGGACAATGCACCAATGGGTCTGTTGCGGATGATTCACGTGCTTTGATCTCACTCCAGGGTAAATGGGTAAATTATATTAATTATGGTTAATTAATTATGGTTTAAAATATCAAATGGCTGACATTCCCCCCTCCAATGTCAAAAATAATAACACCTCTTGGAGAAAAGGTGTGGGGAGCAAGAAACATAGAAAGAGAGGCTGGCTAATAAAGCTACTAATCCTATCATATCCAGTGCCATCACTGTTAATAGCTAATTAATAGTTTTTCATGTGGTTTGTAATGTTGAATGTGGATTTGCATTTGTCTATACATATCCATCCCTAAGAGTGGTATGGTGGAATCACCTGCTGAAGCAGAGGGGCCCTTCTAAGGTGAGTAAAAAAATCATTCTAGCCTGGTGTCTGTTGGTGGGAGCAAACATCTGAGCAAAAACCCTGAAGTCCATATCTGCCATTTCCCAAGGGAAGGCAGACACTCTGGCAAGATTCTTGTAAAATAGGCGATCAGAAATAAAATATCTACTTGGGCCTATTCACGAGCAGTTCTGGTTACTTGCACCTGACAAATGGGAATCTGGCCTAAGCAATGATTTGCAAAGGAGGGGTTGTAGAACAGGAGATATATTTAAATAGAGGCAGCCAGGACCTAGCTCTAAGTTAACTGTATCCTGCCAGGAAAAGACTGTAGAGAGCAAGTGCTCTGTGCATGTATGGCTAGGAACTAAGGGCAGAGGGAAGTCTCCCGAGATGAGCAATCTTATAGCAAAATCCACAAATAAATAAAGAGGGGATGCAGAGTAAACAGTTAATTCTCCATCAACATCCCATTGCTCTTTGAAGATAGAGAGTTGGGAAGTGCTGAACAGGAAGTTCCACTGAAGTCACACTCCCAACACAAATTAGGTTGTTGCTATTTGCAAAAAGAAAATAAGAGGGGAAGGGGTGTCCATTGACTATACATAGCCATAACCAAGTTGGGAAGTGAAGTCCCTGATCCAAATCCAGTTCTTTAACCCTCTAGCTCCCAGATGAAATTTTGTGATCATTCTTCTAAACTTCTAAAAGCCGAGTTTTGTAAACAAAAGACAAATTTGTTGGTGTAAGAGCAGCAACTGAATTACTTTTGATGGGGGGGGGGGAACATTGGGGTCTACATGTTTAGAGAAAATACTATTTTTTTTTTTTTTTTAGCAAATATGAATGTTGAATACTAGCAGAATTGGAGGGCTGAAGAATGAGGGTTAAATATTGGAATGCCTGGGAGTTTTGCAGTCATTGGAAATGTATATTAAATAAAACAGAAATAGTCAAGCTGGCTGCTGCTGATAGGAATCAGAATATGTGTGCTAAAGTTTCCACTTGTATCTACGAAAGCCAAATTCAAGTGATGTGCGGTGATGGTCTGTTGCTTTTCTGTTGCATTGTGGGCTTTCCAGGAGCATTTGTTTGCCCACTGGGGGAAACCATGCTAATGAGGACAGAACATGAGACGTTCCTGCTTTTCTTTCATTCAAGGTTTGCACAACCGATAGAAGTGTAGATTTGTAGCTCAGGATTAAATTGCAGGGTCCTTGGTGCTCTCTGAGCTTGGTTGCTTTCTTGCAGATGTTTCATTACCAAACTATGTAACATCATCAGTTACATCTGTACCAAGAACCCCAAGATTTGCATTATGATAGTCTAGTGCAGTATTTCTCAACCTTGGCCACTTAAAGATGTGTGGACTTCAATTCTCAGAACACCCCAGCCAGCATAGCTGGGAGGTGAGTCCACATATTTTCAAGTGGCCAAAGTCAGGAAACACTGGGCTATTGGTTCTAAAATTCCAAAGTGTCTTTCTAATTAGAAGGAGCACCTGGAAAATCAGTTTGCATCGTCTGAATGAGTAAGGATAACTAACTTTTTTAAAACTACTGATTACAAAACCTAAGGATAAAGATAGGCATTTATTTAATTTGTTTGCCACTGATCTCGCCACTAGCCTTTATTTTGGAGCAAAGATAATGGAAGATGTGATCTGAAGATGGACACGATGAGACCACTTCCTTGTCAAACTGCAGATCACACAGAAGCCCTGGACATCTGCACAGGCAATGGACCTTTTGAAAGGATCTGTCCCAGGTGACTAATGGGTTCAGGATTTTAGAGGACACCTGGGTCTTCTTTTTTCCTGGCAATTTGGTTCTGTCTAGAACTTGCAAATGGCAAGCGTGCTGAATGAGATTGGTTCAAGAAGGACTCTGCCCCACTGCTGCTCCCAAGCCATTCCTTAGTTCACTGAGGAGGTGAGGGGAATTAAGTAACTGAAAAGATGCTTATAGCAACAGTGATGGACCGCCGAAAGTAGCCATGATGGAGTACTGGAAAACGCTCATATGTTGTAGTAGGAAGAGAAAATGGCCTTGAGGGACAGGAGGAAGAAACACTACTAAGTTAACAGTCAGATAAAAGAAACCTCAGTCTGGGGCAGAATTGTAACCTGAGAAAACAACTCAGAAAAAACCCTCTGAGGTCTCTTAAAGATCAAGAAAGAGAGGGGAGGAGGAAGCACAATCAGACTTGCAAGATTCTGTTACTATATATTTATTATAAAAATAATATAGGTAAGCATGACTTCAGAATCCTAATCTGATCTACCTTTAAGGGCTGACACATGTGAGCCTACATACTAATAACAGAAGGGGGCAAGCATTAGGTCTCCTCTGTGCTTATTTTATCTGCATACTGTCCAGTGGTATCCAAACCCCTTTAGAGAAAATTTGGCAGAACAACAGGTTTCTTTGTGGATAAAGGTGTTCATAGCATTTTGGGATGGATACTACTTAACATCTGTATGAACTCATAGGAAACTGATGGGAACTGATAGGAAACTGCTATGATTTCTATAATGCTTCCAGACTCAGTTCGTTATCACCTTTAAAGCTTTATATGGCATAGCACTAGGCTACAGGAACTGCCATGCCTTTGGCTCAAATTGCTTTGGCCTACTCATCTTGGTTCTGTAGGGATATCAATATTTTTAATAACTTTGTTAGTATTCTGCTTGATTTAGTTTTGCTTTGTTGTTCACTGTCCAGAATTGCAACTGATTGGAGCACTTTATACATGAATAAATGATAAATGAATAAATACATCTGGCTGGGTTTCTTTTCTGACTATAAATGTTCTCATTTATGGTGACTCGCAAAAGACTTCCCACAGACATCTCATCTTAAAATAAACCCTTTCAACAACAGTGCAAATAGATGGAAGCCTGGAGGCTGTACAGAAAACTGTCAGTCTTAACTTTCAGCTTGGCCTTTCCACCTAGTAGCAGTTCCGAGTTTGTCCTGAAGTTTCACGAGCTGAAAGAACTTGTGAAGCTGCCTCTTCCTCAGCATCTCAAGAAACAAGGACCATTCAGACCCCGTAAATATTTTAGAGCAGTATGTCTCCTTCTTTCATCTTTCTCCCATGACCATCTATCCCAGGGAGCCATTTCAGCAGACAAAAGACTGGTAGGTACACACAATCCCAGTCAAGCTTCACAACTGCACGCTAGCAGGAAAAAGCCTGTGACATCCATGGGGGGTTGACAGACCTGTCCCTGATGGTCCGTCCGATTCCCCAACTTAGCCAGTGGCAGAAAAGGACAGGAAATGAGTCTTTGACCCTGATCTCTTCTTCCCAGTACGTTTGCTTAACCAGCTGTTTCAGCACACCCTAGAGAGGTAGGAGCTCCTGTTGTCTCTTTTATTATGAACAAGACCTCTTTGTCTCTAGGCCTCAGGGCCAGGCCTAAGAAACCCAACAGTTGTCCTTCCTGGATTGATCATCAACCAGAAGCAGCAGAAAATCAGCTACTGCTTGCTCCATTAAAAAAAAAAAAAGGGGGGGGGTAACTTGTTGCTCCATAAATAAATGGAAAACAAGCTCTGGTTGGGTGACTTTATGGTCAACAGCTATATATGCATCACTAGAATTTCTGCACAAAGAGCTTGGAGACAAGAGTTTCAGCACAGTCTATGTTTTCATCCACTGAAATGCAAGTGCTGGGCCTTTTCTAGCCTCTCGTATTTGGGAGAACATCTAATGCAATGAGCCTCTGGACTGTGGAGTTTACTGAACAAGCGGCTCTTTAGCTCCTCAGTATCTCTTTCATATCCCTTTTAATGAAACCTGAACCAGTTTATGGCTTTCAAATCAAAATCTGAAATCCACAATTTGATGGGCTTCATTATGTTATTTCTGGTTCTGTTGGAGATCTATCCTGGGGATTTTAAAATAAGGAACGGTATGAAGCTTGTGAGTCCAGAAAGTTCCAGTCATGATTTTTGTGGCCATATTTATAGATGGAGTGGAACTGCTTGGATGTGTTATTTGAGGTGTGACCGTTCTTGGCATAGTGTGTGCTACTTCTCAAAAAAGACATGAGAAAAGGACACCATCGAGCTGAAAAAGGAGAAAAGGCCCACATGATCAGGTGGTGAAATGGGAATGGTGTGATCTTTGGAGTTTGTGAGTTGAGAAACTGGGCTAGTGAAGAGGAGCAGGATACAAATTTATAAAGTTAATTAACATTATAATTAATTTTGACAAGATGTCAAAAAGCATCTTAGATAGGGGTTGTTGTTTTTTACTTTCTCGTAAAACCCCAGGTCATCTAGAGAAGCTGAATAATGAGAAATGCAGACAGACCACAAAAAAGAAAAGAAAACTAATGACAAAATGCACTTTTTTCATGATGGACAATGGTCCCCAGTTTGGGTTGCTTAAGAAAAAAAGCTTAGAGAAAGGTATCTCGTAACAGAATAGGTATCACCATTTCAAACAGCAATTGTGGGCTGGAGGCTTTCCTAATTCATTAACATAAAGTGTCTCCTTGGATAACATGACACTGAAAACTATGCTAGTTTCCTGATATGTTGCTAGCTGGTGACTTCTTGCTTTCAGAAGGGAACCCAGAGTTTCCTTCTCCCCAGAACAGTGTGTGATATGATAGTTACAATCTGATACGGCTTTTGGTATAGCCCAGGGGTATCAAACTCACATCGTCCCGGTGGCATCACGTGACGTATCAGGACTTCCCCCCCCCCTTCGGTAAACTGGGTGTGGGCGTGGCCAATGCATGATGCATCTGGCCTGTCGCCCGGGAGTTTGACAGCCCTGTTATAGCCAATCCAGCCCCTTTATTAGAGTGTGCGATATTTTGGTTTTTGAGCCACAAAAATTGGCCGGGGAATTTTGCAAATAAAACATCAAGAGGTAGAAAGATTAAAGCATGTGAGCAAGCATGGGTGATGGTGACAGTAGATGTGTGAAAACCCAACACCGTTGTATTATTCTCTAGGAGTAAAAGAGTCACAAGCGTTCAGTATCAAACATATATTCTTATTGTTGTAAATGCTTTTCCTGGAGGGAGCAGGCTGCAGGAAAAAATTGCACTCCTAATCTGGGCCAGTGAGACAAAAGAGCACTCAGTTGAAGATGGAGGAGTCTGGAGTTTCCAAAAACAAAGCCAGTGTTTATTAGCTTGTTCTATCCACAGGAATCTCACATTACAAGCGCAATGTGGCTTTGCGCCTGACTTCATCATGTGGAGCTACTGCTCAGATGCCCCGTATCTCAGGTTTATTTATTTATTTTTTATTTACAGTTATTTACAAGAGGAAGTATACTCACATCACTCAGACTGGCAGAGGAAGGGGGCCTGCTTTTAAGAGGGAGGGTGAATGAAGAAGGTCCTATTTCCAAGCATGAAAGGGGAAAACCTTTTCTTAACAGCAGGTGGTATACAGCTGGGTGGGAGGGTGAGTGGGGAGGCAGAATCACATAAACTGCAGATTTCTGCAGATTTTCAGCTCTGCTGTGAAGACACTTCTTTGCTGTGCAGACAGAAGCAGAAACAATGTAGTTTCCATCACCCTAACTTAGTCCAGTTACACCTTTAGGGTAATGTGATATAGGTCTGTGCAAGATATTTTCTATACCCACTATGCTCAGTAATGGTAGTCCCTGTAGCTCTGTGTAATTAGCTCCATATTAACAAGATCCATAGCCATAGGAAAGCATTTTGTTTTCCTTGCCTCAGTGCACAGATTAATCCAATCAGAAATTCAGGATATGCACAAATGCTGCAACTCTGCGAGTAGCTGTCATGGGGCTTACTTTTAATTTCATTTCCCTACGGAGTTAGGGAAGATAAAAATCATGCCTATTATCGATGAAGCTTGGATCGATAGACCCAAGAGCACCAAATTGTTTTCTATAGAGGGTGGGGGGAAGACATTCAAGAAAGATTACAGCAAGGGGAAAAATGAGCACAGTCGGAAGACATTCAAGAGAGTAAACTAAGATATAGCCTAAATTTGGCATATTCACCTTTTCACCTAGGAACCCCCTCCCTCTTTGAATGTGCTTATTTGAGGGTGAGAAACATGTGATCTGTTCTTGTTCACGTTCCATGTTTAATTACAAGTAGTCCTCAACTTATAACCATTGAGACCGTAATTTCTGTTGCTAAGGAAGGCCGTTGTTAAGTGAGTTGTGCCCAACTTTATGACCTTGTTTGCCACGGTTAAGTGATCACTGCGGTTGTAAATGAATCATGTGTTAAGTTGTTAAGTGAATCCAACTTCCCCCATTGACGTTGCTTGTCCGAAGGCTGGGAAGTTGCAAATGGCGATTGCATGATCCCGGGTCATTGCAACCGTCATAAATACATCTTGGTTGCAACCGTAAGGATGCTGTGATGGTCATAAGTGCAAGGACTGGTCATAAAGTCATTTTTTTTCAATGTCATTGTAACTATGAACAGCCACTAAATGGAACAGTTGTAAGTCAAGGACTACCTGCATTATAATTAAAAAGAAAGATTGAGAATCTAGCCAAATTGGCTCCGTTTCTGAAGACAAGAGAGAACAGTCAGGTTGGAGGGAGGCAATGATTCCATGCAATGAATGCTTATTAAAACTCTAGCCTGTTTTTCATAAACTCACATTACAACTGAGAGAAAGACAAACAGATGTCCCTGAATCTCCCCTTTCATGATCTCACCAGCCTGTCTTTTTCTTACGTTGGCCATGTGACCTGCTCAGTAATGTTGATGCTATAGAATTCTTCTGTGATTATTAGAACACCTTCGGTTGGACTGTTACAGTTCTCCTTGGTTTATATTGCTTTGCTCGACGGGATGCTAGTGTCATACTGAAGCTTTGGACTCCTTACGGGGCAATCTGAGATGAATACATTATAGAATTTAAGTTGGGAAACCAAGGCACCGATTCCTCCAAGGGTTAGCAAAGCAGAAACCAGATATATTCCGATGGCCATGCACCAATCCTTGTCCTCTCTCCTACTTCAATTGCCATGCTGTCTTTGGTCTTGGAAATGCCTGATGCATGCACTACAGGAGAGTAGCTTTGGTTCATATGTACATTACATCTCCCTGGCATAACTCATTTGGATATGGCCCTTGTGTCCCAACAATGGTAAAACTACTCAACCAAGCCAGCTGCCTCTGCCCTGAGTGGCCAAATCCCATTCACCCTGGGAAGGCACTCCAGTTGAAGCACTGTCAAATCAGAAAGTCCTTTTTTAACTCCTAGTGGAGTTGGCTTATTTTCAGTAGCAGGAAGAGCATCGCATGGGTCATACACGGATATCCTTGATGGAGCACTTCCTTCTTCCTCAAATAGCTCAGGCTCCCTAAGAGTTTCCAGTCTCCATAGCAAGTTTCCCTGGAGGGCGTCCCATCAATATGTGCTTTGAGTCAGAGAGAGGTCTAGAAGAGGAAGAAAGTGCTTTGTAGGTGTGGCAGGGGCTTATATACACCTCTGGGTGTGTAGTAGCAAGGGGAGTAGGACTGGGAGAACGCTTGGTGCCTGACAGCTGCCTTTAAAAAAACACACACCACCAAAACGGAATTGTTTCAGTGATAGTAACAGTAATATCTCAAATTTGCTGAAGATGGGTCAGCCTTAAAAGTCACTGCCCCACTGTTATGGATCCATAGAGCTGTGCTAAAAGCATAATGGGGAAAGGGAGCTAAGGAAACAGTAACTTTGCCATTGGATATCCTTGAAACTCTCCTTCCCTGACTGGGGTCAGCTATCCACACTTGAGAGGCAAAGGGAGGAGTTACTTTGGCTCTGTTCTCTACCTCCAAGATGTCAATTCTTTTACAGTACCACAGATAAATGTGGGAAGGAAGAGCCAGCTGCCTCCGAGCTCTTTGCCACCTCACACCCAGGCAAGACCCATGGATTATATACAACCTACAAATAAATACTGTCTTGATAGGGAACAGTGTGTGGTGGTGTGAGATTTCTCATATATATATGAGAAATATATATATATGAAAATGGGGAATTATAGAACTGTCATCACATAGTCCCTTTCAGCTGCCACTCTCATGTGTGCTGATCCATCTCTGGTTGGTGATTCCGGCGGTTTCGTGGCTTCTTCTGGTCATGCAAGGCCTTGGCTTTGAGACCAGCCAAAGTCTCCTTGTGATTAGAGGCCACGTGCCGCCAATATCCCTGGCAATACTGATTGATGAGTCCCATCTCGGGCTGTGTGAGCAGCTGGACAAGGTCATGGTACTGAGAGCTGAAGGTGCCTGGCAGGCCAGCTCTCATGGCTGCTGCGGAGGGGACGGGGCCTTCTGATTGGAAGAGCACAGCGTGGACAGTTTCACTGCTCAGTACATGCAGCTGCACTTTGGCTATGGTGTGCTTGAAGTTGTTCTCCGTGGCTGTGCAAGAATACAGGCCCCCATCTGAGAGCTGCAGGGACCGCAACAACAACCCTTGATCTGTCCTCAATACCCGCCCTTCAGTGCGGAGCTGTGGAAAGAGAAGCAGCAGAAAAAAATGGTTATTAGAGCTGGATCAGCCAGGCTTGAAGATATTAGGACACAATGGTAGGGAACGACCATGGTTGTCTTCCTGGAGTCCTTTAGGGCTTGTAGTGCACTCCTATTTTCTATTAGAACAGTTATAGCATTAAAAAAAAACAACCCTCTACTGCAGTCATAATACGTAGCCAATCATGGCCATGGGCCCATTTCCTATTCTTTTCCTCAGGAGCAAATGAGAGCACAGGCAGGGCTTGAGTAAACCCTATATCTTCTGCTTGAGAAATTATGTATGTTGGGAGGGGAGAAAGAAAGACCAGCTTTAGCTGAAATAGGTTGAGAAGACTTCTGGAGCATACTCCCAATCTGGCACTCTCTGTATTGACCTCAACCATCATCTCTAACCAGCCATGCCCAATGGCTGGGCAGACTTGGGTGAAGGGAGCTACAGCCCAACTCATATGGAAAGTACTGCCTTATGAAACTCAAAGCACAAAGGCAGCTCTGCTCTTTACTTTTGAAATATGGAAGTTTCCAAGACGGTTGTCAGCTAAGTAGTGTGATAATTCTGGGTGCCTTTTAGTATCCAAAATATGGATAAAAATACTCTAATGCCAGTGAAGACATTGAAAGCAGGCTCAAAGGAGAGAATGAAAAAGCCACATCTCAATCAATCAGAATAGATTGACTCAGCCTTCCATCCTTTCAAGGTAGGTAAAATGAGGACCCGGTTTGTGGGGGCAATAAGCTGACTTTGTATAAAATAGAACACTGCTTGGGTGGGGGGGGGGCAAAAAAGCCCTACTAAGCAGGTATATACAAAAGTATGAAGGCTATTGCTTAATGCATTGTAAGCCGCCCTGAGTCTCCGGAGAAGGGTGGCATATAAATCAAACTAATAAAAAAAATAGAGCTGGAAGGGACCCCAGAGGTCTTCTAGTCCAACCCCCTGCTCAAGTGGGAGACGCTATATCATTTCAGACAAGTGGTTGTCCATCTCTCTCAACATAAAGAGGAGGGGTACCCCTCCCCCCAAGCCTTCAGCTGGAATGCAGACTCCTCCTTCTCTATCATGTGTTCTAATATCTCCACCCCATTTCTTTGCCTCCTTTCCCAAAAAGTCATCCCTCCTTTGCTTGTCTGTTCACCTCTTTTCTTCGGTCACTGTTGTCTCTCTGGAGGAGCCATTTGATGGTAGCTTGAGGGGAGCGAGGCTGGCATTCAAGAAAGGCTGTGCTTCCCTCCACTCCATATTGAACAGCCTCCACTGAGTTCTTGCTGGCTGGAAGTGGGAGAAGGAAGAGATGAACAGATGATGGATTACAAAGGGAGACATGACATCTTTGTAGCATACTCTAGACTAATCAAAGGCTATCTACCCAAAAGAAGTGACCATGTTTATTATCAGACATCCTTTTCAGGTGAACCTGACTTCAGGTGAACCTGACACAGCGCACAGACTTTCAGGGAATATGACAACTGGCTGGGGTTTTTTTTGTGTGTGTAATCTGCTTTAGAAAATCACACTGTGGTTCTGGGTAGATATGTCTATGCATGTGTACATGTGCATAGGACATGAAAACCCATCCCATTATTGAACACTATTTGCAACCCGTGAATCCTCCTGATGAAAAAGCTGGTACTTTTAAAACTTTTTTTTGCAGGTGGAGAGGAACTGTTCCTTTTTGCAACTATTATCCTCTACTTGATATATCACTTTGTGGAATCCTTGGTGCTGCTTTATGTGTTCGTTTGCTTGCAGACATTTCATTACCCAGTTAGGTAACATCAGCAGTGTGAATGCTGCTGATGTTACCTACTGCTAGTTGGGTAATGAAATATCTGCAAGCAAACATCCAAGCTCAGAGAGCATCAAAGACTCCACAGTTCAACCCTGAGCTACAAACACCCTCTTCTATTGGATTCCACTTCACTTTTTTATATATGCAGCTGCTTCCTTTCATTTAGACCAGGGCTGTGAAATTTGTGGCTCGCGGGCCGGATGCGTCACGTGCTGGCCACACCCACATCTGGTTTAGCAAAGGGGGGGGGAAGTCACAATATGTCATGTGATGCTGCCATGACAACACGAGTTTGACACCCCTGATTTAGACCAATGTTTTTCAACCTTAGAAAGTTTCAGATGCATGAACTTCAACTCTCAGAATTCCCCAAACAGCATGGTGGCTGGGAATTCTGAGAACTGAAGTCCAACACATCTTAGACTTGATCTAGTCAGCAACCCGCAGCTCTGGAGCTGCATGTGGCTCTTTTATCCCTCTGCTGTAGCTCCCTGTCACCGATCAGCTCCACAATTGATAGGACTTTCGGTTAGGACAGGTAGAGGAAAAAGGATGCCGCTCTGGGAGGAGATTCTATGGTGGGGGAACTGGACTTCTGGTCGGCAGAGGAAAAAGAACGGCACGCTAGGAGGAGACTCTATGGTGGGGGGAACCAGACTTCCGGTCGGATCCAGAATTCAATGGGGGGCTTCCGGTTAGGACCTTTGTGGCTCTTTGAGTGTTTAAGGTTGCCGATCCCTGATCTAGACCATGGTCTCTCTCAATTTAGCCAGTAAGCACTGCTGTTTTATACTATTGAAATTATTGGAATTTATCCTCAGAGGTGCCAAATAAAATATTGCAGATGTTTATTTATTTTATTTATTTATTTGTTTAAATTTCTATACCGCCCTTCTCCAATGTAGGACTCAGGGCGGTGAACAGCCAAAGTAAAAACAAGACATACATACAAAACATACAAAATCTAAAATCTGTTTAAAATAATTAAATAATTTTGGCCGTAATTAAAACATTCCAATTTAAAATCCGTTTAAAATTTGACTCAAGCCAGCCCAGCTAGTTGAAATAAATGGGTTTTTAGGGCCCGACGAAAAATCCGGAGGTCTGTTATTGTACGTAGCTCTAGGGGGAGGTTGTTCCAGAGGGCGGGCGCCGCCACAGAGAAGGCTCTCCCCCTGGGGGTCGCCAGCCGACATTGTCTGGCGGACGGCACCCTGAGGAGGCCCACTCTGTGGGAGCGTACTGGCCGGTGGGAGGCTATTGGTGGCAGAAGGCGGTCTCGTAAGTACCCCGGCCCTAAGCCATGGAGCGCTTTAAAGGTGGTCACCAACACCTTGAAGCGCACCCGGAAGACCACCGGGAGCCAGTGCAGCTCGCGCAGGAGAGGTGTCACGTGGGAGCGCCTCGTCGCCCCCAAAATCCCCCGCGCGGCCGCGTTCTGGACCAGCTGGAGCCTCCGGGTGCACCCCAGGGGGAGCCCCATGTAGAGAGCGTTGCAGTAGTCCAGGCGGGAAGTGACGAGTGCCTGAGTGACTGTGCGTAGGGAGTCCCGATCTAGAAAGGGGCGCAACTGGCGTATCAGGCGGACCTGATAAAAAGCCCCCCTGGCCACGGCCGCCAAATGATCTTCTAACGACAGCCGTGCGTCCAGGAGGACGCCCAAGTTACGAGCCCTCTCCGTGGGGGCGAGTGATTCGCCCCCAATAGCCAGCGATGGCGTCAGCTGGCTATATCGGGACGCCGGAAGCCACAGCCACTCGGTCTTGGAGGGGTTGAGTTGGAGCCTGTTTCTCCCCATCCAGGCCCGCACGGCCTCCAGGCACTAGGACATCACTTTAAGGGCATCATTGGGGTGGCCTGGGGTGGAGATGTACAGCTGGGTGTCATCAGCGTACTGATGGAACTCCACCCCGAAGCCACGGATGATCTCACCCAGCGGCTTTACATAAATGTTGAACAGAAGGGGCGAGAGGACCGACCCTTGTGGCACCCCACAAGCAAGGTGCCTCGGGGTCGACCGCTGCCCCCCTGTTAACACAGATTGCGACCGGTCAGAGAGGTAGGAGGAGAACCACCGCAAAACGGTGCCTCCCACCCCCAACCCCGCCAACCGGTGCAACATGATACCATGGTCGATGGTATCAAAAGCCGCTGAGAGGTCTAACAGGACCAGGATAGAGGAGCAACCCCTATCCCGGGCCCTCCAGAGATCATCCACCAATGCGACCAATGCCGTTTCTGCCCAGGCTGGAAGCCGGACTGGAGCGGGTCTAGATAGACAGCTTCATCCAGGTACCGGGGAAGCTGTTGCGCCACCACACTCTCAACAACCTTCGCAATGAAGCGAAGGTTGGAGACTGGACGATAGTTAGCCAAAACAGCCGGATCCAGAGAAGGCTTCTTGAGGAGGGGCCTCACCACCGCTTCTTTCAAAGCGGCCGGCAGGACCCCCTCACTCAAAGAAGCGTTAACAATCTTCTGGAGCCAGCCTCGTGTCACCTCCCGGGAAGCCAGTACCAACCAGGAGGGACACGGGTCCAATAAACATGTGGTCGCGTTCAGCCGTCCCAGGACCCTGTCCATGTCCTCGGGAGCCACAGGATCGAACTCCCCCCCAGATAACACTCTCAAGACCTGCCTCAGTCATCCCGTCTGGACATACCCAGTCAGAGGCCAGCCCTTCCCGAATCTGAGCGATTTTGTCATACAGATACTGCACAAAATCCTCAGCTTGACCCTGCAAGGGGTCATCCCACACTTCCAGATGGAGGAGGGAGCGGGTCACCCTAAACAGGGCGGCCGGGCGATTATCTGATGACGCGATAAGAGCGGCAAAATAGTTAGTTTTCGCCGCTTTTATCGCCACTAGGTAGGTCTTAATATGAGACCTCACCAGTGTTCGGTCAGGTTCGGAGCGGCTGGTCCTCCAACTACTCTCCAGGCGTCTTTTCCGGCGCTTCATCTCCCTAAGCTCCTCGGAAAACCAAGGAGCTAGGTGAGTTCGGTGCCGGGTCAGAGGCCGCAAAGGCACGACTCGGTCCAAGGCCCCGGCAGCCGCACTATCCCAGGCGGCCACCAGGTCTTCAGCCGAGTCATGAGCCAGAATCTCAGGAAATGGCCCAAGCTCCATCTGGAACCTATCAGGGTCCATCAGGCGCCTGGGGCGGAACCACCTGGTCGGTCCCGCCTCCCTGCGGCAGGGTGCAGCGGTTAGAAAGTCCAGTCGAAGGAGCGAGTGATCAGACCATGACAAGGGTTCGATGGCTATATCCCCTATATCAAGGCCACTCAACCACTGACCAGAGACAAAAACTAAGTCCAGAGTGTGTCCTCCTGTGTGAGTGGGGTCATGAATTAACTGAGTAAGGTCCATGGCCGTCATGGAAGCCATGAACTCTCGAGCCACCTCAGACGTTTCACCGATAGATGGCAGGTTGAAATCCCCCATGATGGCAAGTCTGGGGGTGCCCACCGCCACCTCGGCTATAACGTTAAGGAGCTCGGGCAGGGCCGTTGCCACGTGGCAGGGAGCCAGGTACGTGACCAACAGGCCCATCTGTACTCCACGACCCCACTTCACAAAGAGGGACTCACATCCGGCTATCTGTGGAACAGTGGTCTCCCTTGGATCCAGACCTTCCTTTATAATAACTGCCACCCCCCCACCCCTGCCCTGAGCCCTCGGCTGATGAAATGCACGGAAGCCTGGTGGGCATATATCCACGAGGGGGACTCCCCCCTCCTGGCCCAACCAGGTCTCCGTAATGCCCGCCAGGTCCGCCTCCCCCTCCTGAATAAGATCGTGGATGAGGGGGGCTTTATTAACAACGGACCTGGCGTTGCACAACATCAGCCGGAGGCTCTGGCCCTGAGAATCTGAACAACCTGGGGAACAAGAAAAGCATTGGGGACCGGAATGCGCAATCGCTCTAAGATAGCGAGTGCGCATTCCCCGCACATGATATGGTCCCCAGCTTCCGCCATATCTGCCCCTCCCACTCACTGTGCTGATGGAACAGCCCTCTTCAAATCGAACTCCAACCCCCTCCCCGACCTATTTGTTTAGAAGACAAATATAGGTATTTTATAGATTGGGTAAGTTAGTTACAAAGCCATCTATAGTGAAACAAGGACATACAAAAATGCTGGCCTGAATATACTCATGTTCCTTTTTCTGATTGCACCTATTCATTCACCCAACATGAAAAAGCCTCTTTCTGCTTTATCCCTGTCTGCCTATTTTCTGTGCTGTGACTGTGGACACCAGTCCACACTACTCATGAAGAAAACTCTTAGTAAGTTTTCATAACATATTAACCAAATCTATGAAAGCGTGCCTATTTAGAAAACATTTGTTGTCATTGAATACTTTGTAAAGTCAGTTAGTTAATATAGGTATTAATTAGCATATCTCATTGTGGTTGCCAGGATCCGACCAATGGACACAGGAATGAGGCTGGTAATAAAAAACACAAGGATCAGGGAATCCTTTTAAGGTTGCCTTCTTCACCTTATCCCACAAATGAAGCTGCACAACTGCGATGTCTAGAAATTGGGTTGTTCTTATTTTTATCCTCCAAAACAAAAACAAGGGATTAAAAATGAACCTTTCATGAATCTTCTTGTAGAGATATGAGGAAGAAAGACATCATGGTTGTACCCATGCCTCAAGTTGTTCTACCCTCCGCTGATACACTAAACTAGCCATTTGTGTATCTATCTCTTGTATGGATAAAAACAGTATGTGAAATGCAGCTGCAACCACCTTTACAGACAGTGGACCAGAAGAGGCAGAGTCACAGTTCCCCAAGATTTCCATTGCACCTCTATTTTCTAGAGACTAAGAATACGGTACCCACCATTGGAATTGTAACCCCTGCACTGACGGATAGGGTTGCCATGCCGGACGTCTTGACGTCTGCTACGTCTGCAGTGAGGAAAGAAGCAGCCAGATCAGCAACTGAAATCTCAGATCCTACCACCGACAGTAGAAACCGCAACATGATATAAAGCCCTTCATTGTTCTACTTTTCTGGCCCGTACCCACGCAGGGAATCCTTCAGTAATTCTCAGCCAATAATGAAAAATCTCTAACATCTTCCAAGAACCAGGATGCTGGCTTGCAAGGAAGTTTATTTATTTATTTATTTATTTATTTATTTATTTATTTATTTATTTATTTTTGAATTTGTATACCGCCCTTCTCCCTGAGGACTCAGGGCGGTGAACAGCCAAATAAAAACATCAAATACAAATATTAAAATACAGTTAAAAAATATATATAAATTAAGTTACTAGTAACTATAAGTTACTAGTTTACCATTTCTAGTTTGGATAGAACAGCATAGGTAATCCTTGGGATGTAGGGTGTGCTCGGGTCATGTTGGCCAGGGGGTTTCAAAACTGGCTAGTACTTCACAGTTATCATGAAATTCCACATGTGACACTGATATGAGTAGGGTGACTACCTAGTCTACTCTCTCCATCTATTACTAAAAAGCAGCATGGGAAAACCTCAATTAACCTAAATTGTCTTGGGCAGTTTAGTTACATATGAGCCATCTAGGGGCAACCATGGCATACAGGGATATAGTTAAGAGGATTAGAGGAGTAAGAGGTAAGTGTTTGAATTCATGAATTAAATTAGGAAGGTATGTTGTGTTTTTGTGAAACAAATCACCAATAATAACAGAAGACAACAACAACCCCCATAGAAACAGATGTGGTTGATCTTATGGAGTGAAGCTGCAGGAAAATGCTGTAGGTTTAATCATGCTTGAAAGGATTAAAGTGTATTTCAGAAAGTTGGAACTAAGAGAGTAAAAAAACAGAAACACAATTGGGCTATTCAGAGACCCAAGAATGATTTGAGAATTATGATGAGGGTGAATATCTGTTTAGAAAAAGATCTACACACACACACCTACACACACACCAAAGGAATTAATATATACCTAAAAAGTATGTTTGATTTGTTTATCATGAAAGACTGAAAGGATTAATAAAGGAATGATCAAAGTGATGAGATGTTCTAAACATGAAAACAGACCGTTCTTTTGTAGACAATAGACTCAGAAAATATCATGAAAAATTACTTTAATATAAATAATTTTCCAGTTGAATGAATGAAAAGAGGATGTAAGGAAAGAGGATCTAGTATCTTTTTTTAGAAAAGAATAAAAAAAATTAAGTTACAAAGTGCCATTGATGTGGAGTTCTGTTAATGGGAAATATGTAACAAGATGCTTAATGAACTATGAAAATAAAAAGGTTATTAAAATATATGCAAATTAGAGAATAACTGCTGCAAACCCAAAAAGCTAAAAGAGATACTGAAAATACAGACTGATTTTGATGAAAATAAACAATTAAAGTGAATGAAGAGGCTAAACAAGAAGCCCTTTTCAGTGAAGGGGAAGAGCTGAATTAAGAAGCACTGAAATTATTTGGGATCAAACTGAAGAGAGGGAATGCTGGAAGGTGTATTTTGGAGATCTGTATAGGAATGACAGTGGTATATCAAATACAAGATAGTGATGTGTTTTAAAAAATATGAAGAATAATCATAGATGCTGTTAAGAGTTTTGAAATGTGGTAAGCCTGTAGGTATTGTGATTTAAAAGGAGAAAAGTGAATTTGTTTGCTTACAAAATGCTGAGCAACTTATTGAACAATATATGCTGTTTGTACTTGCACCAGTAATGGGTTTCAAAACTTGTCGCTACCGGTTTGCTTGTCGGCGCTTGTGCTCTTTTGCGTGATGCTTCTGTGTATGCATGCGCAGAAGTGTCTGGGTGGTGGGTGGAGCCTTCCACCATTGCCACTACCAGTTTGCCTGATCCGGGGCGAACTGGTAGCAACCCACCACTGACTTGCACCTGACAGTTGGGAGAATGTATGCTGAAAGAAGGGAAAACATCTATGTATAAGAAAATGCTGCTTCTGTTTTTTTTTTACCACAGCCTTACGAAGTATGTGTGGTAAAACCAAAAGAGATAAGAATAAGAATGGATGGGTGATGAACAAACAGGGATTAAATAATCAAGTCAGTGACCCAAATGAAAGAAGTACATCGCAGACTCTTCGGTCATATAAATGAAGCAAATGAGGATCAATTCAGCTGACGGATACAGAAAACAAGAGTGAAGAAGTTGAGAGGAAGAGGAGAAATGAGAAAATTGTGGTTGGATGAAATTGATGAGAATACGCAGAGAGAGGTGAAAAGTTTACAGAGCAAACAACAATGCATAAAGTGGTGGATGGATGCAGTGGAAAGAAAGTGATGGAGAAATATAATGGAGCGTTTATGTAAACTAGACTTAGTGAGATTTTCTCCCTCGTCCGTCCCACTTTCTCTCCTGAGTCTCATTTTTGTTTATTAGTTCTTGTTCTTTTTTCTGAAGATTCCATAACTTTGCTTAACCTGAAAGGGAATGGTATAAATATATGTATAGCTCATAGGCTACTCATAGGCTATAACATGAGATTCATAAGTGGTCCCAGATGCCTGTGAGATGTAAGGACAATTTTGCTAATTTTCTAAACTGTCATCAGGATTCCACTGTAAAACCAGCTCAGTATACTTCCAGGTCTTGTTAGAAATAATCCCTTTTCTATATTCTATGTCCCTCTTCTTGTCTCCCCAGTTTTTGGGGAAGTCTCTTTGCTAAAGATTTCTCATCCAGCACTGCATTATGCAATAGCAGTCTTTCTAGTCTCTTGGAAGTACCTCTTGGAAGAAGCAGAATAGCGGGAACAGGACTTGCCATCCCAGGCACAGTAGGGATCTCTGGCCAAGCAGCAGTCAGCACAGGCTTCTCCGTACACATCACAGCGGTGAAGGGCCAGGTGGGTTAGCCCAATGGCTGAGGATACATAGAGCTGTTGCTGTTGGGGCATAGTAACATTCAGATATTGACAGAGCTACAGATTCTTCTGCTCCCAAAATTCACCAGCAACGGGGATGGTGGTGATATAGATTTCCTTGAGAAAAAGTGGAGAGAAACACTACCTTGCCCAGCTCACCCAGAGTTGCACCTCCATAACCAAGGACATTTGGACTAAACCCAAGGCAGATATAGATACTCAAAGAAACAGAAAAGTGCTAGAATTGAAAGAGGGGCCACCTCCAAGTTTCTTAGCCTTTTGCCAAGAAGAACAATAGTTAGGGGGGAAAGCACACTTTCAATGAACCAGCTCTGAAGCTGATTTAGAAATTGTCTCAGGAAGAGTCCCAAAGATGCTTCAGTTCTGAAGAAGCTTCTTGGATGAGAAGCGAAATGTTTTAAAAGAAGGGGAAAAAAAACCAAGTCCAAGAGCCTTTTGGAAAAGCACCTTTGGGACAACCATGACTTGGATGATTGAGAATCTCCATAGACACTCTCAGGAAGACAGTACTCACCCTTTTGGAGGAGATGGTCATAGTTTTGATTGGGGCTGGAACCTGTAGAGAAACCAAATAGTTAATCAATAATGGTTAATCTATGTATAAAACTGAATGGATGGCCCCTGAAATAGTTTAGGGGAAGTAGACCAATTAACGTGTTGCATCCATGCCAATTAAAAGTATTACGTGAAAAGCTGGGAGAATGAGAAATCTGGGCCTTCAATCTCATTAGTATCAGTTCTAAGCCTTCCGTTGTTGATTTGGGAGGGTATTCAAAGTATGTTATTTTAATCTAGCCCTTGCGTCATTCCTAGACAATTATTATTTAATATGACAGTATGTATAAAGGTAATGTTAAAATATTTATGTATTCATTATTATTAATATTTGGATCAGCTCCATCTCTTCAAAACCTACTGGTCTTTAAAACTGCACTTTGAAACAGGTTTTGGGTTTGGTTGTGGAGGTGTGTATGGATACTGTGCATTTACATACATAAAGAATAAGATTGATCACATCTTTTGTTTCTGCATGTACTAATAGTCTAATATATCTTTTTTGGATGCATATACAGTATGAATATTTGAGGGGAGGCGGTGGCAGGTCAGAATAGTAGCAGATAATGTAAGTTAGGGACTTCTAGTAATATTGGGTGACATTGCAGTTGTCACTTTTTTCTTTCTCTCTCTCTTGTCAGCAGACCTGACAGAAGTCCACAGCTGCTAACATGGACACAGTAGCTCAGTGGCTAAGACACTGAGCTTGTCGATCGAAAGGTCAGCAGTTCAGCGGTTCAAATCCCTAGTGCCACGTAACGGGTGAGCTCCTGTTACTTGTCCCAACTTCTGCCAACCTAGCAGTTCGAAAGCACATAAAAATGCAAGTCGAAAAATAGGGACCACCTTTGGTGGGAAGGTAACAGCGTTCCGTGCACCTTTGGCATTTAGTCATGCTGGCCACATGACCACGGGGACGTCTTCGGACAGCGCTGGCTCTTTGGCTTTAAAACGGAGATGAGCACCGCCCCCTAGAGTCAGGAATGACTAGCACATATGTGCAAGGGGAACCTTTACCTTTATCTTATGAATATTTGAATGAGATCCAGTTTGTCTAGTGGTTAAGACACCAGTCTAGAAGTCAGGAAATGTAACTTCTAGTTCTAGTTAATATAATCAAATTGCCTGGTAATAGCATCCTTGTTCAAACATATAAAAAATGGTTTATTTATTTATTCAGTTTGTATGGCTTCCCATTCACCATGAGACTCTGAGTGGCTAAGATCCAGTTAAAACAAAAGCAGAATAACCAACAAAAATGAAATGACATCATTCCAGTGGTGAAATCTAAAATTTGTTACTGCCGGTTCTGTGGGTGTGGCTTGGGGGGTGGGTAATGTGACTGGGTGGGCGTGGCCAACTTTTTTTTTAACTTTTAAAACCATTTTTCTACAACCTCTTCAGCGAAGAGGTTGTAAAAAAAGGCTTTTAAAAGCCTCTGACGATCTCAGCTGAGTTGCCTGATTGGCAGAGGGTTTTTTCTTTTAAAAGCCTCTGACGATCCCAGCTGAGTTGCCTGATCGGCAGAGGTTTTTTTTCTTTTAAAAGCCTCTGCCAATCAGGCAACTTAGCTGGGATCATCAGAGGCTTTTAAAAGCATTTTTTTACAACCTCTTTGGCCAAAGAGGTTGTAGAAAAAATCCTTTTAAAAGCCTCTGACGATCCCAGCTGAGCTGTGTGATCATCAGAGGCTTTTTTTTTTACTTTTAAAAGCATTTTTTCTGCCGAAGAGGTTGTAGAAAAAAATGCTTTTAAAATTAAAAAAGCCTCTGATGATTGCATGGCTCAGCTGGGCATGGGGGGAGGGGGGCAGGGATTTTGGCTACCGGTTCTTCGAACCACCCGCCTCCATCACTACCGAATCGAGTGATCCGGTCCGAACCGGGAGCATTTCACCCCTGCATAATTCCTGTCTACACGTATAATTCACTTAAAAATGGCTCATCTAAACTCCTGCCCCACAGGAAAAAAGAGGTCTTCAGCAACTTATGAAAGACAAGCAGGGTTGGGACCATCTGGATCTTGAGGGACCTGTTGTTCTCCAGGGCAGGTGCAATGACAGAAAAGGCACATCTCATCAGAGACAGTTTGTTTAAAAGAAGAGATCTGGAACATGATGCCCTCTTGGAACATGTGCAATGGGTGGAAATAATTGGAGAACACCAGCCCTTTGTGGTAGGCCAGGTAAGCAACACACTCAGCAGAGATTCTAAGAATGTTCATTATTGTAGTAAAGTGGAATAACAGAAACTTGAAAGCTATCCAAAATCCTCACTATCCCTTTTTAGGACAACCCAGTCAAGACAGGGCTGTTCTGAATCTCACACTTTCTACTTTCCCAGTAGCAACGTTTTCCTTTCCTATGACCTTTTCAGGACCTTATCTTTTCTACAAGAAGATATAGTCCCATAATTAACCTAGCCCTGTACCATGAAGGACTTTATAGGTAACAACTAAGACCTTCAATTTTACGTAAATGTCTACTGGAAGCTACTGCAGCTTGCCGAATAATGCTGTTATATTGTCATACTAAAGTGCACCTTAACTACCATGTCCACTGCCTTCTGGATTAGCTGCAGCCTCCAAGTTGTCCTCAAGGGAAATCTCAAGTAGAGCACATTGGAATAATTTTGACAAGAATTTTCAGGATGGATGCCAAACCACCATACTGATCCAATCGGAGATCACCATCCAGTCTCCATAAAGCAAATGACAGAGCTATTTAGTAAAATCACAGCTGAACTGAAATGTGAACAATGACCTTCACAACTTTCATTCTGCCTCTAACAGTGTTCCTGCTCTCAAGCACACATATAATAAAATTTTTTAGAGTAAGGTAATCATCACTTGTACCTTGAATACCTCAACCTCTTCTAGCATCAATTCTTCTGTTTCCAAATCATCTTTGGGCAAAACTATGACTTTCTGGACAGTCCCACGATCTGCAACATAACAGAAACGTATTTTATTTAGGTTTTTTCTTTTGTGTAGTTTCCATTTTAACTAGCATTAACAATTTTTAAAAGGCTAATATCTGCATATTTGGAGAGTATCTGGCTGGAATAGCTGGTCAGCTTGTTGTCATAAGAGAATGTTGGTCAAGTTTCATTCAGCTTTCATTTTCCGTACAAGAACTGATTGAACTGACAGGTTTTCTCATAATTTGGCCACCACAAAAAAAGTCCCATTCCTGTCATGAGTCTACAGAATTACAGATTAGCCCACAGTCCTGAGATGAAGGGAAGAAATCTAAAGCACATTATATAACAATCAGAAGTAATTTAAACCCAAGAAAAAAGAACTGCACATAAAGCAAATTCTTCAGGGGTCTCTCTCTCCCTCTCTCTCACTCTGGGTGTGTTTAGAAGTGTAAGGTGCTTTTTTCCACATGGGCTATCGATTTCATGAGCCAGCTAGTCATGAAGAAGGATTACAGCACAAAACTCAATATTCATTACAAATGTTGTTAAGTATATATTTAAAATGGACCCTCATTTCATTATTCTGTAGGAGATTTTCATTTTTATAGCAACTTGGCTTCCTAGTATAACAATCATAGCAAGCAGCATGGGGCTGAGAATGGATGTGTGATCATGATCTCTGCAGGATCTTGCTTTCCTGCTTCCTCTTCAGTTAACTGAAAGTGAGGGAGATCTTCATCCATCTCTAAGATGACTCCTGGCATTCACCTGGAGGGAAAATTTTAAAAACAAAATGGAGAAGAATGTTTAATTCCGAATGCTCTTCTAGAAGACTTCTGATAGTTCCTATCTAGTTTGTGTTGAAAGATGGATTCAGAGTGCTTTCTTCAAAGGTCTTGTCTTATAAAACACAAACACCATTTTGGATTCTGTGACATGTGTGTATAGACTTCAAAGTGAGGGAAATATTTCTAACTATATCTAAAGACTTCAACTGGAAATATTCAAATTTAAATGGTAATATTTTTTTTTAGAACTAGTCCTTATGATTACTTTTTTGTAACTCATTTTAAAAACCTAACACAGATGCTTCTGAGAAAACATTAGACATGGTCTGAAACAGAGAAGTGGGGCTGGCAGCTATTCCTTTTCAATATTTTGACAATGAACTCACAAGACTGACTTCTGAATGTTGAACTTTGTTATGAATTCAATGGCTGGAGACGATGTTAAAAGCAAGATCCTCTCTATCTGAGCAACCAAACCATTCCTCTCCTATCTGCCTTCTCTATTGAATGCCACCCACAGCCATGAATTCCACCAGACAGTACCTTGATTCCTGAACTTGGTTCTTTCTACAACAGGAAATAACTAAGATTTGCAGATGCATTGATACCTTTGGCTAGAAAGAAAGCAGAAACTCCCTGCAGACTTCGACAGGTGATGGCCAGACTGTGTACAGCTGCTGGATGTTGTGCAGTGAATTGGGCAGCCCAAAGAATAACTGTGCAGATACGCAACAATATTTGAAAGCTAATGAGGAACATCCTTGGTTGTTAGTATTCTTGGCCACCTGTTTGCCCTGTTGGCTGGTCTCCTTTGACTTGTGGGATTCAGTCCAGTGCAAGAAACATCTGCTAGCCATGCCTTCCCTATGTATTAATTCTACACTTTGATAAATCATGTCATTAGATTTGTGTGTTTTTTTATGCTTAAAGTAATCAGCAACACTGTTCCATTCACTTCAGTGGAGATTTGGACATGTGCAAAATTGTATGCTTTGAGTTAATTATACCTCCAACAAAGCTTTGGAGAATGATGGGTCAACATTGCCTACTTGGCAGATAATATTACAGCAGCCTTTCTTAATAGTTTCCAAATATTAATGATGGATTTCAGCCTTTCCATCCACACTCACTGGAGCCCACATCTGATAGGAACTTTGCTGGCTCAGATGAATTTTACTCTGGAGCTTCTAGAAGGGCATGTTTATAAACGAAAGACTAAATCCATTGGAATCCTTGCTTGATCTATTTTTGCTAAAGTCAAAGAGGGGGACTCTTATTCACTCAAACCGAGGGAACATTACCGGAATTCTGTTCTTGCATCTGGAACAGCCTTGCAAGTAATACAGGAAACCATAGGAAATGAGAAATCAATTCTATATAGAAGAGGACTCTGAAGTGTGATTTAGGGAGCAGTAAATGCTAGCCTGAATTCCTCTGACTTTTCCAAAGAAGGCCTTGAATAAGCAGAAATTTCAAATGTTCTCCTGTGCTCCTGAAACAGTATTCTAGTACAAATGGAAAAGTTGGAGTTGAGATTTGATAACTCTGTTACTGTCTTCCAGCTAATTGCATTGTCAGATAAATTACTTCCAAAATTTACTAAAACCTGGGGGAAGAGGAGATACAGAAAAGTTTAGGTGAATACCCCTAGTCTACTTATCCTAACTGCTTTTGCATAAACCCCAAACGCTCATCTTCCAGGCTGGGGATTGGTGGGTGGAAGTGCTGTGTATTTTTTTCAATGCACATCAGTGGGTACCTGTGCCCAGGAAAAGCACCTCATAGCGTCCATCAGCTGCATCCACCTGGTCCACAGCTATAGTTGTGAACTTGTACTTGACGTTGGTTCTCACCACAAGAGGTTGGCGGTGTATGGGGTAGACACCATTGTACATCATTGGATGAGTGCGCATGAAGTTGATCACCTCATCAGGATAGTCCTTGGTTGATTTCATTGAGGGTGTAAATGTTCCCCCTGGGCACTGAAAAACCAAGGCAAAAATAGTATGAGATATGGTTCAGCCAATATATAAATGATTATATATTGATGCCAACACTGCAAGTGCTTTCTATTTCTCCCCACTCCCTGTGTAATCTCCTCCATGGCCTGGTGTAGTATAATGGCTACGTACTGTATTTTTTGAAGTATAAGACGCACCTTCCCCCCCCAAAAGAGGCTGAAAATTTGGGTTTGTCTTATACTCCGAATGTAGCTTTTTTGAAGCTTTTTTTCACCCCTAAAGAGGTGCCAATGAGGCACTAGCGAGCGATCTTCCCAACTTTGCCTGCTCCTGCGACACATTAATGAGGCACTAGCGAATGAAGGGATCTCCATGCTTTGCTCCAACTCTCAGCTGTTCTTTAGAAGCTTTTTTTCAGCCCTAACTAGGCGCTAGCCGAGTGAAGCAATCTCCCTCCCCCCCATGCTTTGCCTGCTTTTCTCATTGCTGCTTCCCCTCAGCTGTGCCTTAGAAACTGATTTTTATCCCCAAGCAGGGGATAAAAAACCAGCAAACTAATGTGCTGAAGCTGACCAGACTAAGGATGCTAGCCAGATAAATACCTGGTAGGCAGATTTTCCCCCCCTATTTTCCTCCCCAAAAACTAAGCTGCGTCTTATACTCCAGTGCGTCTTATACTCTGAAAAATATGGTACATATCCACTATTAGCCATGGAAGCTCACATTCTTTTAGCCTAGGAAGAATTGGAGGAGAGAGTGGTAAATGCGTCACTCTAGGCTCCTGAAAGAAAAGTAGGACATAATTCTGATGAATAGAGATAAGGCACCTTGGCTGTTTTCCATAAAAGAATTCACCTTTGCTCCTCACCTGAAGGCACAAGAATCAGCTACCAAAGTATTGTGGGATAAGCCTGCATAAACTCATGTTGGCATGCTTTTGCAATTTTTTGTTCAGTATTTTTATATTTTTGTCACTAGCTTTCCTGGGTATTCGTCTGAATAGAAAAGCAGGATGTAAACTTACCAACTAAATTAACATAAAATAATAACAGTAACAGAGTTGGAAGGGACCTTGGAGGTCATCTAATCCACGTAGCTCACGCAGGAGACCTATACTAGGGATTCGAACCACCGAACTGCTGACCTTTCTGATCGACAAGCTCAGCGTTCATTCTGGGAGAAAGAAAGATTTGAGGAGTTTACAGGGCAAGAGAATTTGTTGCCGAGTGGAGCCATCAGAACTTCTCCTCAGCCTTAAAGAGATCCAACTCTTTCAGCATATCCATCAGTTTACTTTTCATTGTTTTACCAGGCTGACCCGCTTAGGCTGAAATATCTTTGTGCATCTCTCATTTGCTAACATCACTGTAATTCTTAGATTGTGGAGTGTTTTAGTAATGCTCATAAAAAAAAAAAAATCACCTCAGAATCCCATCTGAAGCAGCTGCTCAGCTGTGGGAGCCAAACCCAGCCTGCTCTTAGGGTTTTCTGGAAGTCTCCCCATATATAGCAAAGACTGGTCTTTTTTTTTTTTTTTTTTTGGCCCTGGGGGGTTGTACAAGTAAAAGAGTCTGGAAAACTGCATTCTCTGAGCCAACAAAACGAAACAATGAATTCTCCTTATTTTGGAATATTTTGCCAACAAAGAAAGGATGCCAGTAAATGAGAGACCACCAATCTAGAGAGGAAATGCTAATCAGCCTCACACGTGGTGGCCAAATGTCGAGCATTGAAAGAGATGAGCTGTGCGGCACCAAAGGACGTGATACAAAAGAAACTGGGGAAGCACCAGGAAAGAAATGCAGTGAAGTGTCAAGAGAATCCCAGCATGTAGGCAGAAGGGAAACAGAAGAGAAGGAGGAACTGGGCTACCAAAGCAGGAGTTGGATCAACAGGAAGAACAGCTTAAGACATTTTCCAACAGGGAATGTCATCGGTAATGTCTTTCACTGCGACTGTGAAAAATGCAGAAAGGGGAAGAGCTTAGTTAGCACCCAAGACTTTCTAGCTTGCACAACTGTGGAGTATGGGGTTTTACTTAAAGATCTTTATTAGCCTTGGTATTTAAAATCCTTTAGCTAGAGGTGCCAAAGACCATGTCATCTAAAAAAAACCGCTTTGCCCTCTTTCATTTCAAAGGAATTCTATTAATATAAGTGTACACACAAATGACTTTTAAATTGTGCATTGGTGCACATTCTGTCTTACACACACGTCTACATATCTTGTCAATCCATAAATATTTGTTTATGTTTATATTCAAAGGGCAAATGGTCATATATAAAATGGGTATTCTTAGGAGAACATATATTTTCATCAGGAAGAGAGATCAACGTCCCAAGGCCAGCAAACTGAGAGAAGGAACCTGCTGGAGATCTAACCGATGCTTACGGTGCCTGGACGGGGATAAGGCATTTTGCCAGTGTAAGGCATCCACTGATAGTTGGGACCTTCCTTGTGGGCAAACGGTCCATTGAAGACCATGCGAATGTCAGCCATGGAGTAGACACACACGGCAGAACCCTTAAACACAGACCTGTGCAAAGAAAGACAAACAACAATTGCACATTCATCTCAGATGTTAATAATCTATTTCATGCAAAAATACTGGGTATTATTTGTATTTTTTCCCCTGCCCTTCTGTTTCAATGGGGGAACATTCTTCTTCATTCACCTTTGGTCGCTGGTAAACTCTTGGAATTCCCTTAAATCTCTGATAGCACCAAAGCCGCAAGAAGTCAGGATTAGGAAAAGGTTGGGGTAGGGAATAATAGAGTTGGAAGGGTCCTTGGAGGTCTTCAAATCCAACCCCCTGCTCAATCAGGAAACCCTATGCCATTTCAGACAGATGGCGTCCAATCTGTTCTTAAAAATCTCCAGAGTTGGAGCATCCACAATTTCTGGAGGCAAGTCATTCCACTGATTAATTGTTCTAACTGTCAGGAAATGTCTCCTTAGTTCTAGGTTGCTTCTCTCCTTGATTAGTTTCCATCCATTGCTTCTTGTCCTGCCCCCAGGTGCTTTGGAGAATAGCTTGACTCCCTCTTCTTTGTGGCAGCTGTTTAGATATCAGGACACTGCTATCAGTGTTGGAAAGGCAAAGCAATGTTGGGGTTTGAGGCCACTCTCAAATAGATGTTTTGGAGTTATCCTACCATGTTCTCAACAATATAACATTCAGTATCAGTCATTACAGTTAGAAGCATGGAGGAAAATAACATTAGCTGCTGCTTCTGCTGCTACTGCTTGCTGATCTAAGGCTACGTGATACTTCCTTGATCCGTCTGAGCAAAAATTCATCTTGGAAAGGGGGAAGAGCCACCATTTACCTTCCTCCCTGAATGATCAAGTCTCAGCTACAGCTGCTAGGGTGCAGTTTGTGGGAAAACCCTACACTTGGCAGCCAATACTTCTGGGCTGACTTCCAGCTCTGCCAGAAAATTCTACAACAACCCAACCTTCGTTCCAAACCCTCCTTGGTTCGGCAGGGAGCAGATGGCCAATATTCACAGAATGGGGTCAAGTGGCATCTGCTTTTACCATTGTTTTGACTTCAAGTTAAGCCAGGGGATTTTGCTCAAGAAGGCTAAAAGATAAACTATTATGAGTATCGGATGAAACACTCACCCAGAGGCTGCAAAAACAGCATAAATAATGGGATTCTTCACATCCTGGGTCTGCTGGATGAAGACATCCTCTTGAAGAGAAAGGAGAGAGTCAATCACACAGCACAACTAACTGTCCTGGTGATTCAGCAGCAGATACCGTAATTGAAGGAATCTGAAGTTAACCGAGATATACCGGAAGCAACTCTTTTGGCTGATATTCTGGCTTTTTTTTTTTTGTGGAGATACCTATGTTTGATGTATTTATTTATTTATTTATTTTTATTTTATTGAATTTCTATACCGCCCTTCTCCCGAAGGACTCAGGGCGGTGTACAGCCAAAAATAAAACCATGACAATATAAAAATTAAAAACAATTTAAAACAATTAAATAAATTGGCCAAAAAACTCTAATAAAACAACTCATTAAAATAGTAAAATGTTATTATTATTTAGGCCAGCCCTGCTTGTTGGAATAATAATGTTTTTAGGGTGCGACGAAAGGTACGAAGGTCATGAATCCTACGAATCTCCGGGGGCAGCTCATTCCAGAGGGTAGGGGTATGAGGGGGCGAGTGCTTTCCAGCCCTCTCTAAGTGGTTTACAGAGTCAGCATTTTGCCCCTAACAATCTGGGTCCTCATTTTACCCACTTCGGAAGGATGGAAGGCTGAGTCTACCTTGAGCCTGGTGAGATTCGAACTGCCAAATTGCAGGCAGCCGGCAGTCAGCAGAAATAGCCTGCAGTACTGTATTTTAACCACTGTACCACCATGGCTCTACATAAAGTCATGGGGGGCTTTATGTAGATACAGAGTTGTAGTGGAGCAGAAGAGACCTGAGTCTACTGGATGATGACAGAGATTAAATCAAATTCCATTAATCTATTAAAAACTATTCTCCAACTAATCTGCAACAACATCTAATAAACATCAAACACATCCTTTTTATCATGCTGGATTAGAAAAAATGTTTAAAATACAAGAAATGATCATTAAATCTGGATTGTCTAAAACCACACTTTCTTTCTTTCTTGGCATGTTTCAGCAGATTTTCAGACATGCTCAACTTTCAGTTTTTATTTAACCTCTTATTTCACTTTCAAATGGGAATCAAAAATGTCCCTGTAGAGGAAAGAATGCAGATGTTGCTTCTAATTCAGCCTCAGATGCTGATCGAAGAGATCCTTCCTGTAAGCAGGCAGGAGCCTTGCCAAGAGATTCCAGAAGAACCCAGGGAATGAAGATTGCCTGTGAACCGTCTGGTAATAATTTTGAGGAAGTAAAGCAAAGCAAGCATGGGGAAAGCCCAATGCTAACTTGTGCCCTGGCAGGAGAGAATCCATCAAAGGCTTTTGATGATGCTAAAAGCTGCAATGGGACTTATCCTCGAATGACCAACAGCCATTTGTTAAGCAGGTGTTGAGAGGAAGCTGACAAGCAGCCTGCTAAGCGATTGCGGCTGCCTTTCTAGCAAATGGGATCCCCAACATTAATCACATCCATCCTGGAGCCCCTCGTCTTCGCTTTGCCCCCAAATACAACATCTATCAGGAGGTTAAGCAGGCTCCCTGCTTGAATGAGCTTCTATTATCTCAAAGCCAGCCCTGATCTTTACATCTGGTAACTCAAGGCTTCCTTTTCCCCACTCATCCTTCCTTTTCAGCAAGTGCTGCAAACTAGTCAATGCAACACAAAAAAACTAATTGTGATGGCCTTCCAGAATGAATCTGACCAACAGGTTTTGCTACACAGCTGCTTATATCAAAGGAGATCCTTTACAAAAAGGCCCATTTTAAGACAAATGTCCTGCTTCCTACAACAGCCATCTAAACTGCAAACTCCAGAAAGCCTGCAGGTAGGACATGAGGACAGCAGCACACAGATTTGCTTTGAGAAAAGTGACCTCTTTTTTTCAGCAAAGCATTTCATTCATGGCTGACAAATCACACATTTTAAATATCCTGTCAAAAGTCATTGCTGCTACTATTTCTTATCTCCCCTTCTTTGACCTTCAATCTTAACCATCAAAAGCTTCCAAACTGCCTTTTAATGTTTATTGGATCTTTCCAAATGCTAGTTTGGTCTTCTTGGTTTTAGGCAAATATCCATAGTTTCATTAATCTAAATGAATGTGCTTGCTGTGTCTTCAAGCCATAGTAGAACCTCTGGTTACAACCATAATTCATTCCATAACTTTGGTCACAAACTGATTTAGTCGTGACCCAAACCTAATTTTGGAAATTTAGCGCTTGCAAAAAAAAAAAAAAAATGGTGTGGAAGGGGAAATCAGCCGTGAAAAAAACAATTGTGAATTTTTTGGTCGGAACCAGATTTGGTTATGGTCAGAAGTGTTGGTAACTACTGTGAGGTTCTACTGCATACTATTTTTTAAAAAAATGTCCAAATTATATATCATCTACTCAATGAACTTGTGGGATACTTTGCATGTAAGATAGACTTCCCCAGCTTGATACCTTGGAATAACCTGAAGTAGTTCCACTATCTATAATCCACATGGATGACAGAGGTAAAGTATTACCAAATATCCTGACAATAAACTTCAGTATATTTCTCTTCCTTTTTTTTTTCTTCCTTAAGCATTCCTTAAGCATAGCAACTAAAAAAATCTTAGCTCTGTATTCTGACAGAAAATTACTCTCATTTTTATTTAGAATTTGAGGGAAAAAGTTTTTCATTTTAAATTAAAACTATACATGTATTTTTTTTTCAGAGATATCAACACAGTTTACAGAGCTGATCTAATCTATTGGCTGCCAGTGGGAAATCTGTCTGAGCTTCACAGGCTAGGCCATCTCCTAAATTGCTTAGGGCTTCAATGGCTCCCTTACATACTCCCTCATCTCTTTCCATTCCCCCTACCACCACCACCCTGCCATGAATATACATACGGAGTTCATCGAAGTGTGTTTCAATTCCATCAGGCCCTGGGACAGAACAGATGAGCCGTGCCTTTAGGAATGTGCTCCATTTATTTACTAGGCAGCAATGGCCTCCATCGTCATTCTAAACCAAAGAAGAGACGTGATTTAGGTTGAAATTCTATCTCAATCATGGAATTTCACTGGTTAAGGGTGGGCTTGTCACTCTCACTCTCAGCAAAACTCACTTCGCCAGGTTGTTGGCATAACGAACAACATAGAAGTGCTATAATATGTTCTGTCCAGGATATACTGTAAATGTCATGATTTTTTTTTAAAGCCACAGAGACTATACTTTTTAACTGCAACCTAACCATGCTGGAATCAATAGAGTTTATTTTTTGGCTTAAACTAGAATATAAGCCTTTTTTTTTTAATGTTCCCACAGGGAAAAATTATAGGAGCAAGAAAGACGACTGTATGGAAATGGACAGATATTTAGCTATAGAACACTATACCAAAGTATGATAAGAGGTATGATAACAATGAGGGCAGAGGAGGATTTTACCTTTTGAAAAGGATGGATGGGGGAATACAAAAATGTTTAGCGTTATGTAGATTTTTTTTTTTTTTTTTGTATGGGAAACTCTCAACATCACCCAGTCCGGTTCTTCTTCTGAACTCACCAAGCAAATGCGTCCAATGCGGGAGTAGACAACTGGGCTCTGTGGAGAATCGGTGGATTTTTCTCGAAAGAAAAAATATAGCTTGTCATCATTTTTCTCAGCACTGTCTGGGATGAGCTTTGCATGGACAAATGCTGGATCTACAGAGGGGAATAAAACCAAGACAATTACTAGGAGAAAAGAATTGGGGAAATAGTCCCCAGATATTCCTCCCAGTCTCCAGAAATTTACAGCAGTGGTACCCAAACTGAGCCCTCTAAAGCTTTGGTGTGGCCTTCAGACATTTCTACACATTGTTTTCAAATGTTAATTTGAAGGGGAAAATAATGAAATACATGGCTGGAGTGGAGCCTAATAGCTACATTTTTGCCACACAAGTTAGCCATCTGAAACTCAGAGGCCAGATGTGATCCTCAGCATATCCTCTAAGAAAATAGAGAATACAGGTGCAACATCACTTGTACAATTCCTCAGCAGCATTTTGGTGTCAGGATTCACCCACTGAAAAAGGAGCATCTTCCATTTTCTTTTCATGCTCCAAATCTGCTGTAGTTAAGGCTTGAACTTAGCTTATTGTTCCAGAATACAAAGCACTGCCAAGTTAACTGGCTCGAAACTCTATCAACTGGCAATTTTTCCTAGCATATTACAATGGAACATATTGCTTGTTCTGTTAATTGCAGCTATTTGCCTCACATTTTCTGTAGCCTTGTCTGGGACACGATTCTTTTATCTGCAATTAAATTCTCAGTTGAAAAATGATCTAGATTGAAAGAAAGTTGCTGCATGCCAAAAGTTGGGTCTCACTTTTTGGAGCACATATTTTGTTTGCAGAATTCTTTCTTGACCTGCAATGTCTCTTTTGAATAGCTCACATGGGGAAATTAGCTTGAAACATCTGTGTTCACATACCAGAAACTTGATCTGACTTTTTTTTTGGGTGTGTGTGTGTGTGCCTTCAAGTCAGCATCGTATTCCTGGTTGAACGAGTCTCTGCAATTTTCTTGGCAAAGTTTTCCTGAAGTGGTTTGTCATTGTCTTCTTCCTAGGGCTGAGCGAAAGTGACTGGCTCAAGGTCATCCAGCTGGCTTTGTGCCCAAGGCAGGTCTTCCGGTTTCTAGCCTGATGTCTTAACTCCTACACTAAACTGGCTCTTAATCTGAATCTTTGCCTCCCCAAAAGTTAGAAGATAAATTATCTTGTCAGAGAGTAGGAGCAATTTTAGCAATGCAACTGCAGGAAAATTCACCAGCACTAGTTTATATTTCCATTCTCATGGTGCATGTCCAAACTAATCTTGGTTTTTTTTGGGATTTGTGAAGTAATTTGGTGAATTTTCTGGATCCTAAAAGAATATTGGAATTTTAGTTGAGTATAAAAAGAGCACTTTAAATGTGTTGCTTTTGTTGTTTTTTCACTGCAGAATTTAGGACTACTACATCTAACAAAATTGGTTTGGGTGCAATATATTGGTTTGCTAATAACAACTAAGTTAGCATCTAAGAAGTCATATACTTCACTGTTTTTTCAGTAATAAAATGAATAAAATTCAGATTCCATAAAGTGACTTATAGAAAGATTACAATACATAGTATAAAAAACACTTACAAAAATAAAAATCAACTATGCATTCAAGCAGTAAATTAACTAAATACAGTATTTAGCTTACTTTCAGGGACCAGTATGGGCCAGGCATCTTTGTATGTCCTTATGTCTTCACTTTGTGCAACCTATCTCAGTTTATGCACATTAGAGCCAGTTTGGTGTAGAGGTTAAGAGATCAGGTTAGAAAGCTGGAGACCGTGAGTTCAAGTACTACCTTACCCATGAAAGCCAGCTGCGTGACCTTGGCCCAGTGACTCTCTCTCAGTCCAACTCACCTCACAGAGTTGTTGTAGTAGAGAAAACAGGAGGAGGAAGGGATATATTTATATCCCTCTTATATAAATGGTGAATCAAGCTAAGGTCAACTTTTTCCCTACATTTTGGGTTTTGTACAGTGGCATTTTGGGTGTTCACAAGCAGGAGATGGAGACATGTCAGTCTCCTGCTTTGGCTCTCTTGAATTTTAAAGCCTGTCACATCCAATCCAGGATCTTGGGACTCTGGATCAATAGATCTGTATTCCTTGAATGTCTTTTTAAAAACTGATTGAAATATTTATAGTTTAATTACCGGTAAATGCTGTGTAAAGACCCAGCTTTTTCTTAAAGGAAAGCATTTGAAACCTCTGATCATTTTGACTGCCTCTTCTGCATTTTTTTTCAGCTTTATCATCTTTTTCAAACGTGGTCACCAGAATTGTACACGATATTGTAGATGTGAATGTATAAATTTGTATAAGAACATTGCTACGCTGATAGTTTGATTTTTAGTCCCTTTCTTACTGACCTCTAACATGCAAGTTGCCTTAAAGGTTTACCTCTGTAAATTAATTATGGTTTAAACGTTTTACACTTCAAATTTTTTTTTTTAAAAAAAAATTCTTTAGGCAATATTTCATACCTCAGCCCCACCATCCTCCCAAAAGAATCTCAACTACTTTTGGAGAGAATCCCACACCCCTTGCTGTTTGTTGCACTGAAGCCCCCTCCTGGGATGTGATGATAGTTGCAAGTCTTTGTCTCAGACAACAGAAATAAATGTTGACACAGTGTTCAGTGAGTTAAGCAGCTATTCACCGCAGCTCTGCAGAAAACGTAGCAAGCAAGCAGCCTGATTAACTGGGCTATAGTCCACTCTGGCGGTGTTCTGAATTCTGTTCCTTGTATTATCTCATTTTGTAATGTAAAACGGGGAAATAAAGAATTCTTTACTTACACAGCAGTGCTTGAAAAGAGCGAACAGGAATGCATACTAGATAAAAGTGCTGAGGTAGTGTTTCTCAAAATTTGGGCAACAAAGCCATCCCAAATTTGTTAGTTCTGTGTTCCCTTATCTAAATAGAAACCACACTCAGTGCTTTATTTTTTGCATCAGCTTATTTTCTGTTCAGCTCCTATAGACCCATCCTATGTATTAGCATATTAAAGAAGGTGTCCACAGTAGTTCAGCTGCGCATAGGATGGTTAAGAAAAGAAATGAAGCTTCTTTTCAGGTAATGTATCACAGTACTTCATGGCATGGTTTGGGCTACATTCAGGAAAACATCGATAACTTAAAAGATTAAGAATTTATTTGGATATAGCCTATGTTTTCACGGGGTCAGCAGAATATTGCTAGGAGAAAATTGATCCACTCTGCAAGTCCTTTTATGGACACCTGCTTTCCTTTCAGTTGATGATAATCAAAGTTGGGCTATTGTTGTGCTAAAAGATGGTAAGGGGAAAAGCTATAAAACTGGTATAAAAACCGATATTAGGTTAACTAAAATTAAAGTTTAGCTAAAATTCAACTGATGAATAAAATATAATAAGATAATAAATTGTGCTATCTAAAAAAAACTTTAAAAAAAGCTACTGCAATAGAATTTGCAATGCTTAATAACTACAGATTAGAGACAGCAATGTAACACTCAGGCAAGCATTGAGCGTGACTGGTTCTAGCCATTCCTAGGAAGTTTTGCAGGCTGTCTGGAAGAACTTGGCAATGGTATGCGTTATGTTGGAATCAGAAAATAGCCTGGAAATGTAAGATTGGTTTGTATGGCCTGGCAAACCTAGCTAGTGGTGGATGCCTCTGTAAAACAGGCAGAAGAAGAAGAAGAAGATATGCTTGGAGGTTTTCACTCGCCTGGGATTGTGTAGGCAGAAATGTGAAACACTGGGATGTCTTCCTATATCTTCTATTGAATGCGTCCAAATAGAGAGCATTGCAGTGAGCATATCATGTCCTTTTATTTCTTTTTCTCATTGAAGACATGGAAAGTTTTGTAAATCCAAACTGATTATTTGGATGTCCATCTCCAATAACCTTCCCAATTTGTACCAAACATCCCTTTGTATGAAGTTCTGCCATAAGATTTATGTTGCTGCAAGAACACCTGTCCGCTTTCAAAACCTTCTAAGAATTTCTAGGAGGCTTGCAATTTGGAGAAGCTTGGTTATTTTCTTTAGAGCATCTGTATTACGAATTGCCAAGCATATGGTGGCCCGTGTAATCCAGCATTGCTTACACCGATAGCTCTCTTCAGGTTACTAAAATGATATTCCTCTAAACATGATACTCATCCTCAGTTTACTCAGCTGTTTGTGCTGTTCCTTAACAGCTGGAGTTGCAACCAACAGGAGGCTAAGATCTTTTCTTATTGGCTCCCATTCCAGGATGCACCCTGGAGAAGATGTGGCAAGGGATTAAATGCTCTGGATCAGTTATCAGAAATGACAAGAGTACAAACTTGCCCTTTACCATCAAATTTGTAAGGAGGAATAATGCCCGAAACAGCCTGCTTTTGAATTAACCGAACAGGGGAGATACATCACGGGCATGGAAGCAAACAAAGGGGCTCCCAGCTGATAATAGTTGTACTCCTCCCCAGCTGGCTAAACAAAATTATATAAAGGTCAGTTGTCACTTAGGACAGTTATGTCACCTTCAGCAATCTGATCTACTAAGCATAAACAAATGAGCATTTGCAGATTACTGCAGTCTGCTCTACATGGGGCTGCCCTTGAAGATCACCCAGAGGCTACAACTGATCTAGAATGCAGCAGCCTAGGACAGGGGTCGGCAACCTTAAACACTCAAAGAGCCATCTGGACCCATTTCCCACAGAAAAGAAAACACTGGGAGCCACAAAACCCTTTTGACATCTAAAATAAAGATAACACTCCATATATCATTTTTTACTTTTATGCTATGTATAAAAAAACTATAATGTGTTGCATTTATGAAATCAATGAACGGCTACGGAGAAAACAAATTTTTATTTTGCATTCAACAAGAACATTTTGAACTCTGAAAAAAAAAGATGGGTCAAAAAGCTCAATAAAAGCTCACATGCCGTCGGGTGTCACACATTGGTGGTTGTGACGCATATTTTGAGTGACAGGGAGCCGCAGCAGAGGGATGAAAGAGCCACATGCGGCTCCAGAGTTGCAGGTTGCAGACCCCTGGCCTAGGAAGTGACGGATGTGGCGTGGTATGCCCAGGTAACACTGCTGCTCTACAAATTATGTTGTTTGCCTCTAGGCTCCCTGGTGAATTCCAGAGACTGGTTATCATCTACGAAGCCTGGATCTTTGAGGAACTGCCTATCTTCCTTTGTTTCTGGTAAGATTATACAAAGTAGACACCCTCAAGGTTTCCTCTATTTGTTCACTATTTGGATCTGTCCTCTGCAATAATATCCTGCCTAGAGATCCATATGGTTTCCACCCTAATGATGTTCCAAAATCTTTTTAAGCCTTTGCTGTTCTCCCAGGCAAGTTTGGGGACCTCTTTCGATTGCTTTTTGTTGATTTTTTTCTTCTTCTACACCTCTATCATTTGGGTTTCTTAAATATTTTATTGCTTTTGCTTTTAAAATGTAAGCCATACAGAGTTGTTTGGCATTGAGCAACATCAAATAAACAAATATATATTCCCCAAACACTGTGTATTTCAAACCATTCACCCATGAGGCATTTCAGATCTGTTGATGCTACAAGCATGAAAAAGAAAAAAACTCTATCCCGTTTTCTTGGACATAGATAGACAGCATGAGCAAAGGACAGTAGAACAGAAAGGAGGAAGATTGAAAAAGAAATGTGTCTATCACATGAAAGAAGGTATAGCAGAAGGATATGTAGAGCGTCATGGGAATGGAAATATAATAAAAAAGACCCACAGGGCACCAAGAAGAGAGATTGGATCCAACGAGCTTAATGAAGATTCGTAACTGAGTTAGGAGCAGGCTATATATGGATAAATAAAAGAAACCAATCAGAAAAAGTTGATATGACTTGGCACGATACCATATACTTTGAAGAAATCAGGTCTGGAGAGTCATAGACCACATTGTGCATTGACAGAGGGGATTTAAAAATGAGGAAGGAGATTGCTGGGTGCTCCCACAAGCATAATGATAGCAAATTAGTGTTATCAGTGTGCCAGCTGTTATTTCTTTCTTAAAGGAACAGAGGACAATCAAAAGAAAGTGAGTGTAGGAATCCTTCAACTTTGCACAGACGTTTCTGCTGCTTTCAGGCAGAAAAAAAAAAACATTTTCAAGGAATCAGTTTCACACCACAGTGTGGCCTGTACAATGGACTCAGTTGTCGAACACCATCTCCTTTTCTTCTCCTCCCTTACCAACTCTGTTGTATTATGCCCCTCACTTACCATTGAGCCAACGTGAGTTGTATTGGTCAGTTCTCATGGCAGTCTGCTTGCCCAAAGTGCGGAAGATGGCTGCATCTGTGCCCATGAAGTCAATGTAGACACCAGCATAGAGTTCTTCATCTGTGAGCAAGGGTCAAAAATAGGGGAAGGTGGAGGAAGAGAACACAATTGTTCTGTTCTAAGGAATGCCTTGTTGAATTTCTTGTCATTACTGTATTGACATGCTGGCAGAGCGTCCTGGAAAAAGTTGCCTAACAACTTTTGTGTTGAGAGCATCCGGACCGGAAAAGTTAAAGCTATATGATGATAAATGACTCTCTTTCCTATGCTAGGAACAAAGCAAGGATACTCTACTCAGCTGGGATGCCCATTTACACATTCCACTGATTTGCTGAATGAAAGATAACAAAGGAATCCAGAATGTCTACAAACAGAAGAGAGCACTGTCTGCATTTTTCATATAATATTCTATGAACAGAGCAGAAGAAGATTAGAAAGGAGCTTCCCCCAGGCCTTTTCCCCCCCTGTATACAAGAATTGTGGGTGGCAACCTACAATTGTGGGTGAATTGAATATTGGGAAGGGAAGCATGCTTAGGGCAGTGGTGGAATCCACTTACCTTCGCTACCAGTTTGGGAATGGGAGTGTGCGGGAACGTGCACAGGTGCCTCTTCTGCACATGTGCAGAGCATTCTGCACATGTGCAGAAGATCAAAAACGGGACATAATGACATCCCGGCGGGTGGGCAGAGCTGCCCGCTGCTGGCGCTACTGATTTGTGCGAGCCGGATAGATCCGGCAGGATTTCACCGCTGGTTTAGGGAGATTATTCCCTGGCCCACCTTAGAAAACAGGAAAAGGAACTTTTAGTGGTGACTTTGGTGTTTAATATAATGTCAAGTGGAGAAATTGAATCCAAAATTTACTTTTACTGAATGGGACCAACTATAACAATGCTGAAGTGTGGGGAGAGTGGATCTTGTCAACATATTTTCCCTGTCACAGTTTTGCCTTTAGTCACAAGACCTGCTGCTCAGGTTAGTGCTTTATTAGGCAACCTAAATTTTAAATACTGTACATGCAGCTAGTCATAGAAGGGACTGTGTAGCCTATACCCCAAAAGGGAGCAATACTGGGCAGAAAGGTATGGGAAAGAGGAAGAGTGAAGTACAGAGATTTTCTTACTTTTCCCTAATTCCCATGCCCTGTCCTAAACTGCCTGCAAAGATAATCCCAATGAACCCCTATATTCTGAAAGGTCAGCTTAATTCAAACCTAGAAGTCTTTTAAATATTTCATAATGAGCCCGAGGCCAAGCTCTTAGTTTCTGCCGAATTATAAAGAGCTGCTAGGAAAACAAAGGCAAGAAGAAGGCCAGGGTGTGTGTGCAGGTCTTGTTCTACTAACCCCTCATGTCCACTTAAAGACTTAAAACAGTCTGTCAGGGGCAAAGAGCAAACATCTTTTTTTATTTGGCAGTTTTGTTAAGCAAACATTCAAGTGAAGCACGTGGGCATGGGACATGGGGCTTTTCTGCGGATGCTACTGCTCCAAAGCTCACAACAGAGGACTTAATACAATGAACCCAAATGGTATTAGCAAGGCTGTTCATCAAGCTCTGATGCACTGGCACAGGGGCACAATTCTTGCTTTTCCCAAACTGGGGTCACAGCTGCTGCCAAATTAATTTTAAACTTTAGGGCTTGTCCTGTAAATGGATACTGGTGTCTGGACAAAATCAGAGGCTGGCAGGCCATATCAAGGGACTGGGAGATTTGTGGGAAGCAAGAACTCTGGCCAGTCCTGGAACTGACTGGGAGGGGGAGGGAAATATAGTGCAGCTGTTGTGTTGTGCTAGTTAGTATGGGGTAAGCAGGACAATGATACCACTCCTAATGATCTCCCTGCTGTGAGCTTATGTAACTCCAGCTCTCCTCCTAAGGAAAAGAACTGTGGAGCTGGAGTTCCCACATAAGAGATGGAGAAGCCATCTGGGAAAGGGAGACACTGCTTAGCCAAAGTTCAGAGAAGGTCCATGCTTGGAACCGATCTGCAGGTGCATAAAGCAAAAAAGTCTGCAGAGGCAACGGAGGATAAAAACCAAAAAGACATGTTCCTCCCCTTCTCTTTCATATGGCCAAGCACATACTTCGTTGATTATCAAAAGATGAAGGCAAGAAGGTTAAAACTGCAGGAGGAAATTATGGCGACTCTGCATGATCGGTGGAATTAAAAAGGATTCAGCATCCTGATGGGATATCTTTTAAGCCCTATATTGCTTGGGACCAGAATAGTTAACAAAACATCTCCCATGCGTCGTGAGATCAGCAGCATATAAATTTAATAAGTAATAATAATATTTATCTGAATGCTTGCTGAATTTGTTGGGAAGTTAACCACACCCGGTGGTGATCTCTGTTCTTTGGGATATAGTTTCTGCAGTGTTGAAGGGCCCTCGGTCTTTGTTACCTTTTACAAAGTTTGTTCATACTCTCCTTTAAAAAGAACGTTTAAGCCTTATTCATTTTAATTACTAGTTCTCTTCTTTCTGCTATCTTAACTGTTTCTAATGCTTTGATTGTAAACATTTTTATTATGAACTGCTGAGAGAGTTCAAGAATTAATGGTATATCAAGTTCACTAAATTAATGAATTATGACAGAATAACAGTTGATAGCTCTACTAATTCTACTAATTATCTATTAAATTCCACATTAAATCATTACAATTTAATGATTGTAAGCCACCTAGTGTTGCCTCCAAATGAGATGGGCGGCATTTAGGTTGAATAAATAAACAAGAATAAATTCAGTATCATATGTCAATAGGGGAAGCAATGCCTCCTTTAATAAGTGAAAATGAAGGAACATAATCTAAATAACTTTCACTTCATTTCTTTTTAATGAATTCCCAGGAACTCATTGAGTTAAAAAAAAATCTGACTACCAACTTTTTGGGTGTTTTTAAAAAGATCCAGAGTTTTGTAGCTCCTTCAGCTGCAAGGAGATACCCGAGTATTCTTTTAAGGGTTCTGTTGACTAATATATTATACAGCCAAGAAACTCACTTATTAATGCTGATACTGTGTCCACCTTCGGGTCATATGAGCATTTCCCTTTGCCTGACTCCAACTTCTCTGGCTCTAAGTAGAATATATAATCCTGGAATAGAAGGCAAGAGATGGATATACCACCTGTGTTATCACACACCTTTACTCTGGATATCTTCAACCACCTCAGATATAAGGCACACATATGGGAATTATAGAATACAAAGTTATCTTTTTTGGGGTAGAACCTTCATACAATACAGTTACAAACGCTTGAATTTAGGCGATCCTGGCCCAGAATATGTTTGCACCCTCAAAGTGGCCTTGAACCATTCAGGAAAGCTGATTATGGGGTAGATCAGTGGGGTCTACATCAGTTCATCATACAGAGCAGGCACTTCCACACCACCATGCCATGGTGTCCTTTTTAAATGCTACTTTTGTTTGAGACTGGAGAAAACCTCCAAACCATTTTTTCAAGCTTAAACAAATGTTTCACCCCATAAAAGATAGCTTTCTCCCCCATCAGTGAGATCCATTGTAAAGCAGAGTCCACGTTTTGAATGTTCCATCAGCATTGGGCCAGAAGGTCCAATGGCAGCAGAGAAGTTACAGCAGGCACTGTTCTTAATGCATGTTTTAAATGGCCAATTGGGAACATTTTCTTAGATGCTCTTAGTTCATTCCAGCAAGTGCAGTGCTGTTCATGTGCTACACTTCTGATTGGTATTTCAGCCACATCAAAGCTCTCCCAACCGCTTTATTTTGGAAATATTAATCAAGCCCCCCAAATATCTGTTTTACATTTGAATTGCCAAAATACCGTTTTTTTTGACAAAATAAATCTGTTTGTGATAGGAAAAAGGAACAGTTAATATTAAAATGCTATTTTCTGCCAGGTTTTCCTGCATGCTGTTACGTTACAAGGCATTGCATGCAAAATATTACTTCTAGAGCTCGCCAAGTCATGGAATCATCATAAATCACATTCAAAGCAAAGAGAAGGAACTTCTTCAAGGAAGCCCATTTCCCCCCTTGTTATATTGATCGGCTATATCATATTTTTCAGACCATTGGCAGGCATGCAGAATTTCTCATTGCTTATAAGCATTCAGTGGAGAAAAATAACTGCAGTGTGCATGCAGACATTTGAGGAAAGTGTTTAGTTACCCCCAAATTATTCTTAAATGACACCCATCCACGTATGGGACCGTTTAAATAATGCTCTGACACATTGTTGATGACAGTATCTGAATTGGTGCTGAAATATAATCAGGCGATATTAAACTGAGATAAATGTGAATACAGCATGAATCATCTCTCTCCACTAAATACTTCAGGGACCTTCAGATAACCATTAGTTGTCTTGTAACAAGCTATATGAAAGAACACGTAGAAGCAAATCTGTCACATTTTTCTCTGAAGATACTCAAGAGCAGACAAACATGAATTGGGTTGATAAGATCCAGACATGAGATGTCATGCTGAAAGTTTTAAAATAAATGACATTAATTACTCCCTAACTCTGATATTTTATGTTGAGAGTCACTTCTGCTCTTGTTAAGAGTTGCTGGAAAAGTCTGTAGTTGCATAAAGAGCCATGCAGGTGTCCTTCCTAACCAGGGTAATAGAATTCACTTTTTGGAAAAATAGCAGTCTAGGCCTTGTTAATAAATTGTTAGGAAATCATTGCTTTACTGTGTTAGGACCATCAGGAAATAAAAAAAGCAAATGCTCTATAAAAGTTCAGAGGCATTTTGTGTTTTGACAGATTGATGGACACACTTGGCATAACACTTAATATAACTTTTAATTCCCACTGTTTATTTGATCCATCTTGAAATAAATATGACAGGGATATCACTGTTTTGTACTATTAAGCTCTTTGGGGGAAATCCATATTGAAAACGTTAAAATAAATTTTATCCGAAATATTAACAAAGCCATTTCAAAGCAAAAGTAAATTCAAAGTCAGTTTAAGAGGCACAATTGCACACCATGTAAACTATGGTGTGCAACATAATTTTTATAGTTTACAATATGGGTTTTCCAACCTTTTGGCTTGCCTGGGCCACACTGAGTGAAGAGGAATGATCTTGGGCCACATATAAAAATATACAATCTAGTTAATCTAGATAAATAAAAAACTTAATTTTAAAAAATATTTTTAATTATCTTGTGGGGCTGCATTACTAGCTGCATTACTAGCTGCACATGCGGTCGCAGATTGAATACTCTTGATTGATAACATGTTTTTCTGTATTTTATAGTCAAAAGCTCAAATGTAAGCAGATAACCAGGCATTGTAGAGATACTGTTCAAGAACTGTGGCTATATATTAATAACTAATTCTGACAAAAACAAAAATGGGAGTTTCTCGGGGTCTTTATTTTCAACTCTCCAAATGGAAATCATAATTGTTTAACAGCTTTGCATCCAAAGATAAAGAGAGCGTGAGGGGGAATGTGAGTTATATGGTTAAAATATTATTAGTGGGTTCCTCCTTTTGACAATATTCATGCTACTAGGGTTTCAAATAAATGACATCTTAAAGAGGGATCTGTCTAAGCAGAATAAACTGTGGCCCAACTTTTCCCGAACAATTGCTAAAGTTAGCAATTTTTTATTAAAAATGAGCTGAGTCAGTGTAAAGCACATCAAAGATGTTTGTTGGGATGAATGAGCAAAATGAAAGAATAGATGTGACTATGCCTATAAGGAATTGGAGAGCATATAGTCTCATTCAGGCTCCAAATGCCAAGTAATGTTAGCCTAGTTAAAGCCCAGAAACATCAAAATATTGTCAGTATCTCACATAGACAGAGCTTTTGAATAATGGCAGGGCTTTGACAGAAAGTGCAGGGATCGTTTTTTGCTTGGGGCAAGGACAGTGGAAAGATCACCTGGCCACATATATGATATTGCATTCTGGTAGAAGGAGGCCTCCCTTTTCTATCTGTCCTTTTTTTGGGGAGACTCCTTTTGAGGACTATTTATCTCAGCTATTTCCCCCAAAAGATATATATGTATCTATATGTGTATGTATATATGTATGTTTATGTATGTATGTATGTGTGTATAGATACACACACACATACTGTATATATAGGTGTATACACACACACATATAGGTGTATACACTCATATATATAGGTCTTTGGTTATTCGGGTTTTCTCCCACGTAAAATTGGAAGTGTCTTGGCGACGTTTCGACAAAGTCTCATTCAGGCTGGTGTTTTCGGCTTCATGCTTCTAGGAGCAATGTGTGATCGCAGCTGTTTCTTCCTTTTAACTGCCAGTGGGGGTGTGAACTGATTGGGTGCGAGCTTGGCTGTGTTCTGATTGGATGGAGGTATGGTGGAGGTAGTATAACATACCTGGCAGTTAAAGGAAGAAACAGCTGCGATCACACATTGCTCCTAGAAGCACGAAACTGAAAACACCAGCCTGAAGATGACGAATGAGACTTCATCGAAACGTCGCCAAGACACTTCCAATTTTACGCGGGAGAAAACTCGAATAACCAAAGACCTACATACAAACACCCGCCTATATATGTAGGTCTGTGTGTGTGCGCGCATGCACACACACACACTAATGTGTATATGTACATCCATGTGTGTGTAAACTCTTTGTCTAAACACAGTCACTATCAATTTTCTATGTATTTTGTCTATTTTAATAATAAAAGTCACCCAAACTTGTTGAAAGGTGGAATATGAATATCTAAAGAAAAAGAATCTGCTCACTTAAAAGAATTACAACAGGCCCATTAAATAAGTTAGGCAAGCTTTGTTTAAAATGCACTCTTTAAATTCACCTTAGGACTTTGTGAACTAAGATGTTGCAAAATAGCATCAACACTTGAAATTAACCTGTTCAGAGAAATGTTTGAAAGTCTAGATTTTATTGTAGAACGATTTAGTCATGCAACAGTTTGATATTATGGCCAAAAGAATCTGTCTGGCCTTAGAAAGGCAGCCCTGCATATTCACCATGAACTTTTTAGGTGCGTCATCTTGAACTCAATGTAGAAATCTGTTGCCAAATGCAAAAAGGACGAAGGATTTATATCACATTGAAATCCAAGAAGAAACACATTAGGAAAGGGATCTCTTTAGCTTTTGACCTGTAAGTGTTAACTTTGTTCTCAACCATGTTTTTAATCTGTGCTTTTATTCATGTGTTTATATTGTTTCATTATGTTGTTGTAAAACCCCCAGAATCACTAAGGTGAGATGGGTGGTGTAGAAATCAGATAAATAAACAAATCTCATGGCCAGTAATTCTAAACCCCAGACTAAATTGACTACACAATTTATTTTCTTCCTTCCTTCCTTCTTCCCTCCCTCCTTTTCCAACAGCTAAAAAAATAAATTTAGAATCTGTAATTGTGTACACATCCAGCTGGCTGATCCCCCAAATTAAAACATGCTCTTGTAAACAGCATCCAACCCCTTGGATCTTCCTCTCTGTTCATACTGTTAACATGTGTTTATACAACATACAGAAACACATCCCATCCGCATCCCACCGCCACCCCCGCCTCCCATTTTCAGCATGACTTTGATCCTTCCAAACTACTTGCAGCTTATGAGGCGGCCTCTCTTCAGTTCAACATTTGCTTGAAATAACAATCTCATGTGTCTACATTTCAAGTGGATGGATACAGGATCTTGTCCTGTACGCTAAGGTCAAATATTTTGAGAGACTTATTTCTTGACGCAAGTCTGATGTGAGCCTGGGGAAGGAGGAATTAGTCTGAGAGAGGAGACGCAAGGAGAAGCTGTCCAGGAAGCGCGCTCATTGCTGGAGGGGCATGTGTCTATCCTGGCCACACTTGACCCTCCCTCCTGCCCCTTAGTTGCCTGTTAGGTGCATGCCAGTTGAAAATGAAGGTTAGAGAGCCCAGGCTCGGGCATGCTAGGGAAGGAGCCATTTTGTCCTTGGGGAAGGACAGGCAGAGCGCAATTCCCACCTTGCGTTCCACTGGAGACGGGTGGAGGGAGGAGTCAACTGCTCTACTTCCCCGTCCTCCCTGCTGGATGGACTGGTTCAGCTCAAAAGCCTGAGGAGAGGAGGAGCAGAGAGTTAGCACTGGCAGCATCATCTGCCAGAGAAGCAGGAATGGCAGGGTCTGGCCAGAGAGCATGCAGAAGCTTCACTATCTCTGTCACGTACACATATTGATTACCATTGAGACCAAGGTTGTCTTCAGAAATAGTTGTATCCTCTCTATGGTCTGAGTAGGATAGTCAGCTATTCTCCAGGGCTATCTGGAGAACGTCATACCTGAGTGGGTCAACACTGAGAAGGTCTGAGGCATCTCAACTAAATTGTCAAAGTGCAGAACTAAAAGATTTGGCTGCATAGCTAATACATCTTTAACATTTTAATGAGCATCTGGGGCTCCAGATGTTGCTAAATTACTATTTCTAGCAAACATGATCAATGAGTAAGAGCTGTAAGGTCATCAGGATCTGGTGGGCCATTAACTTGATTTTTGCATAGAGGCATAAGCTGTAGTTAAAGGCAGAATATGTATGAAGCAAAGATTTTCTTTTCTTTTCAATAATTGTCGTGCTTTTTGTTTAGATCTTGGGAAGAAAGGTCCTTTTTGAAGCGTTAACAATATTTAAAATGGTACCTCTGTATTTCTTTTATCATGTAGTTACAACTGAAAGTCATAGCAGCAATATAATATCAGAAACCTGTGACAGAAAATGGTCATGAGGTCTGTTTTAAAATTAAACTAGGCAAAACCTTTGAGGAAAATGATTATGAGAAGAGAAGATAGTTTAATGGTGAAAACATTTTCCATGGCTATACAAGCAGTTTTCCTTTATATCATTTTTAAGGATCAGTGATATCTAAAACCAGTAAGTGAAAACCAAATACAATGAAACCCCCCCTCAAACTATTACAAGTGTGCTAAATAGCAAAGATAAGGCTGATGTTACATAAATTGGTAAAAATGTACCAGTCCACACTGGATGGAGGTTATACAGACCCATTAATGTCAAAGATGGTGTCACTTATCTGTTAATTGAAAACATGTTAACAACAGCAAAACCTCCGGTTGCTGGGAAATGAAACTTGGATAATGTTCTATTAATAGTAGAATAAAACATGGCATACTTCCAGACTGTAAAAATGATGAATGATGTGCAGAATGCAAATAATCCTTTAAAGACATAATTTAAGCAACTTCAATGACATTTCCCGAGATGCTGGATCAATTACCACAACATGACATAATTCTGTGCATTCCTGGGATTTGAACTCTATTCAGTGCAGTGGCAGTTTATTGTTTTAAAAAAAATGTTCATTGCACTGGGCTATATGTATTAATACAATGTCTATGTAATTTTCTTATAATTTTTCTCCTTTCTTACAATATTCTATTATTCTATTTCTTTGATGTCTATTTTAGAAACCACAGATATTAAATCAGATCAACACGATTTATTCCGATACATAATTTACCTAATTAATCACCAGATGCTTATAGACCATTTTTAAAATTCTGCTACATTTTTTTTCAAACTTTGTGGTCCTTTTTAAATGAATTTCATATTATCTTTTCCAAAACTTAAAATTCCATCTACGTAACAGAACCTGTGAAACACAGCTTTCCTCAATTTCTGCCTTCCGGGGACTTTATACTGCAATCATCTTCCTGGTGGGATATGAATACATACTGGATTTGGAAAAAAGTTTTGAAAACAAGTCTATCTTCCATCATAGCCTATCAAATTTCTAAAGTAACTATGCATTCATAAATGTTTGCATATACTTCTCCCTTATTCAGTCATGTTCCAGAGTTGGGATCATTGCAAAAATGAATCTGGTTCACCTTAATAGTCGATGGACAGAAGATAGAAGTGCATGGACCATCATAACGCTTGAAATCTCTCACCTCCTTTAAGCATAGAGGATATCCTAGTACATACAAATGGTATGTACATTTCCTAGTACGTACAAATGGAAACATTCATGATTGTGCATTTGTTACAGCAAGGCTCAGGGATATGTACTATGTGGTTGTGTCTAGCATAGAAATCCTGATTGCTCTATTTTGCTTAGAAAAATGTTAGCATTGGCTGGAGAATGCCTGTATAACCATTTGTTTGGATGGACTTGATCTCAGCTTAAGACTCTTGTCTTTGAGCTAACATAAAAGGTAATCCTTGGTCCTGAATTTGTAAACATTTTCTTAAGCAGGCACTTCAATCGTTTCCAGGAAGACTTCCTGTAATTATGATAGTGTGTGCTCAGGTTAAGCATGGGAATGTTTTTGAGACCCCTAAAAATAGGAGTTTCATTCTACTTGCAGTGTTTTACCATAAGGGGAAAAATAAGGATAAATTAAATATGAAAGTGTTTTCCAGATTTTGAGGGACTTCCCAGAGCCAACCAAAAACAAGCTTAAAATAGAATAAGCAACTATGAATGCTGATTTACTGAGCCAAATCATTTTCTAGGAGAGAGATTTTTCATTGTTTTTAATGTAAGATTCATTATTTGACTAAGAATTTTGCTCCTTTATGGCATGGTCTCTCTCAAGACCTACTAGTTCCAAAGATCTATAGGTGTATAGAAGGATGCCTGGTAGATAGGGCAAAGCATTATTGTCATTGTAGTCACTGATCCCAGCAATGGGGAGATCAGATGATGCTGGTAAGAGCTATTGAACCAAAATATGAAATAAGTGTTTAATATAAATATAAACCATGAGAGACAACCTCATGCTATATGGATGGGAAGCAGACTGTATTACATAGTTATACTGCCCCATTTCCAATTCAGTTGTATATATGGTCCTGGGAATGGGCAGCAAAGACAATTTCCAATTCTTTCTTGAACAGAGAAATTTGCTCCACCAACCTGAAGAAAAGCAACACAACAATGCAGCAATCCAAATATCTTTCAGCAAGCTTTCATGCAAAGAAATGATAAAGAAATACCAAATATGTCACACTAGGTGTGATTTCATAGTATATCAGCAGTCATGAATACTAAAACACTATCTAAAGAGCAATACCTGAGTTAATGTTGCTGGATTTATAAATGGACTCCACATCATAAGATTCTCAGAGGAGCCTTTTAAAGGGTTTTATTGAATAACTGATCTCCAGCTATATGGAGTATGGAAGCCATATGAAGCTTTGAACTGAATGCTTAGTAGATAGGGAGAATGGTTCAATACCTCCATTTTAAAGAGGACAGTCTAAATTGCATGAAGAATAAAAATGATCTCAGCTAGTATTTACTTTATCCCTATCTCATATTCTACATATTTGTCTCCTTTTTCTCACCTTGCCAAGTCACTGTAACATTGTGACTATAGAGACTACAACTAATGAGATTCAGGCTTATATATTCACTTATCCAGGGGATGAGTGACTGTCTTTAGGCCAGTGTCAAGTCTTAGAGGAGAAGTTACTGCACATTATCTTATGCCTCTGGGGTTAAACATGGAGCTAAACAAATGAAGGCTCAGTCTCAGTGCTCAAAGCCAGAAGTCAGCTTCTAATGGTTTGTTTCCCCCACCAGGATCTATGGGAGTGTAATTCTGCTGGATTCTGCTCTTCTAGTGTAGGCTACTCCAGGTGCTTCCCTATTACCAATCTGGATGCAGTTCTAGTCATACGCTCTGACATCACCTCACCTGTGCTTTGCGACCCCGGTTGACAAAGGTGCAGACAGGATTATATGCGCCAGTGCCACAGACATACAAGTGTGTTCGATTCCAGGGCTGGATAAGTCGGATGAAGTTCCCGCACTCACCCTAGAAAACAAATGGAACATTAACTTAAGCCTCCTACAAAATTGCATCCACTTCAAGAAGGGGAGGGTGAGTAATTGCATTCTCTACCAGTTTCAAACGTACAAGGTCTTCTGCAGGAAATGGCTTTACTATTAAAGAAAGCTCCTTGTCCACTGCAACAAGTAAGTCCTATGGACAGGTAGTCATATGCATTGAGCTTCTCTGAAGTGACACTTCCGAGCAAATAAGGTCTGGTGCCCCTTTAGAATCAGCAAATGTACATTTTGAAGCATTTCCTCCAAAGAGATTTTGGATGTTTCTGCAAAGCAAATGTTCTGTTTGTCCTATTTATGGTGCTTTTTCCCCCACCCTCCCTCTCTCTCTCTCTCTCTTTTTGGAAGAACTTTGAATTATTTCCCATTTCAGAGCCAACATTCCTTTTTTCATGTCTTATACTACAGCATATTTGTAGCTGAAACAGACTATAAATGGTGCAGGTCAAAGCTTTCCTTCTTGTCCTTGGCAATTTTTCTTAAGTCTGAGAAAATAATAGTTGTACAATTCCAGAGAACTATCTTGGTGTCAAGATGGCAAATGCCAGACTCCTGGTCCTGCTTATTTGCAAACACAAGGAAAATGATCTGAATACAAATTGCATGAAAGGAAAATACTTCTAATCGACCCAAAAGAGGACTTTCTGACTTTATTGGTCCCAGGGAAAAAGGAAAAGAATTCAAGTAAAGCTGGTCTGGGTCCCCATTTGTTAAACCAGTGATTTTTCAATCTTGGTAACTTCATGATGTGTGAACTTCAATTCCCAGAAATCCCCAGTTAGCACAAATTATTGCTATACTGTATAAATGTATTAGAAATGAATGTGTGTATGTGTATAATGTTTACATTACATAATCATAATTACACTCATTTTTAAGTACTTGATATGTCTTTTTATTATGTACGATTTTGCATCTTGTTTCTTTTGTTTTTCTTCTTTTTTCTGTCACTATTTGAAATGCAACAAAAATTATTTTGAAAACTCCCAGAATTCCCCAGCTAGCACACAATAAGAAAGTTATATAAATAATGAGTTAATGTATTAAACCAGAGGACTTCAAACTTGGCAGCTTTAAGACTTGTGGACTTCAACTCCTATGCTGGCTGGAGAATTCTGGGAGTTGAAGTCCACAACACTTAAAGCTGCCAAGTTTGAAGATCTCTGTATTAAATAAATAAATACATTTTTGGCAAGAGAGTGAGAGCCCCTTGCCTCATTCCCTCTGATTTGATCCTTACCATTTTTTGTCAGTTTAATTGTAATTTTATTTTATTGTTAGCTTCCTCAAATCATTGGGAGACCATTTTATACACCATGATGATGATGATGATGATGATGATGATGATGATGATGATGATGATTGGTTAATCTTTAGTGAGATTCACAGCCTTTGAGGCTGGTTAATAGCTCAGCAGCTCGAGTCCTAACCAAGGACCTAGGAACTGTTAAGGTATCGTCAGAGGATTAAACTGTTCTGAGTAAGGTGGTTTTTTGTAGAGTCAAAATGTTCAAGTCCGGTAAATTTAGAATTTCTAAATAGCGGGGAAGCCCTTTGGGTATTGCTCCAAGGGCTCCAATTACAATTGGGACAACACACAATTTCTTTTCCCATAGTTGCTCAACTTCAATTTGCAAGTGCCAGTACTTTGTGATTTTTTCTTGCTGCTTATCTTCAATCCGTGCATCACCAGGTATTGCAATGTCAATGAACCATACTTTTTTCTTTTCAACTATTGTTATGTCAGGTGTGCTGTGGACCAAGTGCCTGTCAGTCTGAATCCTGAAGTCCCACAAGATCTTGAGTTTCTCATTCTCTAAAACTTTCTCAACCTGATGTTCCCAGTGGTTTTTGCTGTACTCAAATCCAAACTTCTGGCACAATTTCCCATGAATGATCTTAGCAACACGGTCATGGCATTGTAGGTAGTCAGTTTGTGAAATTTTGCTGCACCCACTGATCAGGTGGTCGACTGTCTCATCTTTCTCATTACAGAGGTGGCATTTGCTTTGGTGGTAACATGTTGAATTTTTGCCTTCATGCAGTTTGTGGCTAGGGCTTGTTCTTGAGCTGCCAAAATAAAGCTTTCTGTTTCTTTTTTCAGTACTCCTGCTCTTAACCAGTTCCAAGTTAGTTTCTGGTCAGCTTTGCCTTCAATACTTTTCAAGTATTGGCCATGCAGAGCTTTGCTTTTCCAGTTTTCAGCTCGCTGCTCAATTACTTCTTTCTTATATTCTGCTTTTGTTTTAGTTGTCTTTAAAAGGCCTCCTTTATTTACTTCCTTAATCATTGGTTCTTCACTTTTCTGGATGTAATCATTCAAGCTGCGTTTTTCTTCTTCCACAATCTGTTTTACTTATAGGAGTCCTCGACCACCCTCTGCTCTTGGTAAATATAATCGGTCAACATCACTTTTAGGGTGCAAGGCATGATTCATTGTCATAAGCTTCCTTGTTTTTCTGTCTAAATTGTCTAACTCCATCTGGGTCCAGTCAATTATTCCTGCAGAGTATCGAATCACAGGTATAGCCCAGGTATTTATGGCTTTTATGATGTTTCCTCCACTCAATTTGGACATTAATATCTTACGAATTCGCCAAATGTACTTGGCTGAAGTTAATTCCTTGACTTTATTATGCATTAAGTCAGAGGCCTCTAAAATCCCCAAGTACTTGTAGCCTTCTTCTGATTTTACTGCCTTTATCATTTCTTCATTCTCTAGTTCTATTCCATCCTCTTCTATAATCTTGCCTGCTTTGGTTGCTATTGTTGCACATTTGTCAATTCCAAACTGCATACCAATGTCTTGGCTGAATTCTTTTGTGTTTTCAATTAATAAATTCAGTTCAGCTTTTGTTTTACCAAACAGCTTCAGATCATCCATGTACATCAAGTGCAAGATTTTCAGTCCTTTCTTTGCAAGTTTGTATCCACAGTTCATCTTCTTCGAAATGATTGTCAATGATAGCATTGAGAGTATAAAAAGTAGGGGTGAAAGGGAATCGCCCTGGAAAATGCCTCGTTTAATTTCAACTTCACCCAGGTGTTGTTGTTGTTGTTGTTGTTGTTGTTGTTGTTGTTGTTACTACTACTACTACTACTACTATTTTTATTGTGTGAGGCCTAAGTAAGGAAGATAATGCCATTTTAGTAATTTTTCATCTTATTTAATTTTCCTTTTTTAGCAATTACACAAAGATAAATGTGATGCTTGTTGACATCTTAATGGCACTGTATTTCAAGATAGTGGGAACCAATCAGAAACCTTCCGAAGTTCTCCCTCTCCTTATTCAGAAGGAGAAACTGATGACTAGGATGGCTATTTAATGGAGTGGATCTGTTAGAGTGATATTTCTCATTCTCAGAAACTTTTAAGATATATGACCTTCAACTCCTAGAATTCCCCAGCCACCATGCTAGGGGATTCTGGGAGTTGACGAGCATACATCGTAAAGTTGTCAAAGTTGAAAAATGCTGCATTAAACAGTGTGAAGGGCTTGGAAACCTCTTGGCTAATGAAACTTATACTGAATATTTAGTAAGTGACAATGGAAAACACCAGAGAATAAGCAGAGAATTCCCAGCATGTGGCAAGGCCTAAGCTTATTAATTAATTGGATCTAGGACCAGGAATGAAGCATGAAGCAGTGTGTCTGAGCATGGAGTCCCATTTCCTCTTCACAGCTCATGTTTCCTCCTTGCCTCATGCCTCAGTCTGGAGGAGCTCAGCTGGAGCCAAGGGTAATAAAGTTCAAGAGGAAGGGAAATATGCAAGCAAATGCAGCTTCCTTTGCTCAGAGCGGTTGGCTCCTCTGAAATCAAACCCCAAACAGTAGCAGCTGAGAGATCTCAACAAGACAGAGTTCAAGGACAGTTGGTCAAAAGGCTAGCTAGGCCTTGCAGGAAACATCTTGGTAACCTCTAACCTTGCTTCCTTCTACTAAGACAAAAAAAAAAATTAGCATGCATTATTACCAACAAACTTAGTTCTGTCTGAACATATTTTTCTGGTTCCTACAATTTAATGCTGATAAGGCTTCTTCATCTGATTATGTTCCATGCAGAGAAATGAAAAAATATTTTCAGGCACAAAAACACTAAAAATTGCCAGGTTGGGGCTCATGAGCTTTAGTCACATGCATTTACATGTCATACACACCAATATATCCTTCAGTTGAACAAGGTTGCTGGGAGAAGATAGGCTTCTCCTCCCTCACTCCTCCCTCACTCCTAGAGATTTCTTCCTGCCAATTTTCTGTTCAGTTACTATTGAGCAAAATGGGCAAAGTTCTTGGTGGATCTGTTTGCCTCAGGTAGTCAAAGATTGCACGAAGTCCATAATCCACAGGTTGTCTTCCATTCTGCACTGAACTGCTGTCTTCAGATCAAAAACCTAAGCCACCAGCTTTAGCCCTTATTTTGTCCTCTTACAAAAAATATGGGGAAATGCAGGTGTACAACTGCTGTCAATTCTTGGGTCAGAATGGGACTTTTTGGCTTGAACTCTTGGTGCTGCCTGTTTCTTCACCAGGGTTTCATCTCTGCATTATTACGTCTCGGCACTTTGGACCACGGCCCCTCCATCCCAGTCTCTTCGCCGCAGCCCATTCGTCATAGTACACTTCACGTTGGGCTTTTGGACGCACAGGACAGTTTGAAGCCAGCCAATCAGTGCAGGGGCATGGGGGCTTTGGGAGTAGAGTGGGGGCTGCAGTTTAGAGGGAGGCTGTCAGTTCGGACCCTCCCGAGGCAGCCGAGAGCAGCGTGGGGGAGGGATCCAGCCACAAAAGACAGTGGGTCCTGTGCGCCCAAAAGCCTGATGTGAACTGTACTGCGACAAATGGGCCGCGGAGAAGGGACTGGGATGGAGGGGCCGTGGCCCAAAGTGCCGAGGCATAATAATGCAGAGGTGAAATCCTGGTGGAGAAACAGGCAGTGCCAAGAGTTCGAGCCGAAAAGTCCTAGACCCTCTTGGGTTTATAATGTTGTTGCCAAGGTCTGAAAATTTTTATATAAACTACCTATCTTCTTTCTCACCAATCAGTAAAGAACAATTACAGGTAGTCCTCGACTTCCAACAATTCATTGGGTGACCATTTGAAGTTACAACAGCACTGAAAAAAATGACTTATGACCGTTTTTCACACTTGCAACCTTTGCAGCGCATCCCCATGGTCACACGATCAAAATTCAGACACGTGGCAACTGGCGCATATTTTGATAGATGTAGTATCCCGGGATCATGTGATCACCTTTTTGCTATCTTCTGACAAGCAAAAATCAATGGGGAAGCCAGGTCCATTTAACAATTATGTAAATTAACGTAACCACTGCAGTGATTCGCTTAACAAGTGTGGCAAGAAAGGTGGTAAAATGGGGCAAAATTGACTTAACAGTTGTCTCACTTAGCAACAGAAATGTTGGGCTCAATTATGGTCGTAAGTTGAGGACTACCTGTATGAAACATAAATCATAAGATACATAAGATACAAATCTATGTATATCTTATGTATCGTAAAATACAAATATTGAGGCCCAAAAAATTATAAAACTTTGCAGGAATAGTGCAGAAATGACCTAAAATGGGGTCATCTTTTAGCAAACACAGCAGTCAACAGAATTCTATTATTAGTTGTCACCTAAAGTATCTGGACTTCATGGCTGAAAGGGTGAGAGTAAACAGGAGGTGGGATGAGGCAGGAAAAGGTGGCAAAGCACAGTCAGTATTTGCTGATTTTTCTTGTCCGCCTGAAATCCTTGTGGAGGTGTGAGCAATACCCCTCTTTCCTGCATAATATTAGGACTTCACCATCCTGAATGAGTTTAGGGATAACATCAGAAGTACTTACATTATTGTTCTTGCCTGACAGGACACATTCATCTATCCTTTGCTGTGATGCAGGCCAGTGGATCTGCCAAGCGAAACAACATCTCACAGTTACAACTCTGATTTCCCATATTTTCCCCTTAACCCTGGTCCCAAGCCAGACAATATATTGAATTGTAAGTTTTGCATTAGAAATCACTGGGAGTTTTTCAATGTGATTATTTTAGAAGCCAGCAGTCACATCACCTTGCTGTTTGTTCCAGATGTGTTTCTTAAATGCAGTACTTTTTTATATTTTTATATAATTTCCAGAATATTCTGGAAATTACCCCATTCCTTTTTTTTTCCAAAAAAGTTTTTATTTTTATTTCTCATAAACATATTTACATGTACAATAATTTCTCCACCATTTTTCATTCATCTTATCTTTTAACTTTCATTTTACCCTTCTTTATTTTGCCACAATCTTTCTTCTTCTCCTCCCCTTCTCTTCCTTCCTCTATCTCCTCCTACTTTCTTCATTCTTCCTCTCCTTCTCTTTCCTACTTCCCCTTCCCTTCCCCAATCCTCTCTTCTTCCCTCCTTCTAACCTTCTCTCTTACTCCTCTTCCCCTCCCTTTTCTTCCTCTCCTTTTCCCTTTCTTCTTTCTCTCCCTCTCTTCTCTCTTCTCCCTTCCTCTCTTTCTACTTCTTCCCCTCTCTCTTGTTGTTTCCCTTTTCAGTTCAATCTCGAATGGTATTCGAGCAGCCCCAATTTTCTATTTATCTCTATTCTCATTTCAATTTCTTATTTGATTAATATCTATATCTGTTTCCTCATTTGTGTACATTTTTATAATAATCTCACTTTTTCTCTTCGCCCCCTCCACCTCCCCTTTCTCCTTTTACCTAAGCAGCATCTGGGTTTACCCCATTCCTTTGTCCAGGGGTGTTAAACTCAAGGCCCACAGGCCGGATGAGTCACATGTTAGCCACGCCCACCCCCAGATTAGCGAAGGAGAAAAAAGTCACAATATGTCACGTGACAACAACGTGACACCACAAATTTGACACCCCTGCCTTTGACTGTGAAAAAACCCTATATATCAATGGGTGCAAAGTACAATGTGGTTGTTCTGGAATCACAGTAACAGGCTAAATTCTTGTAATAACAAGTATTTTTGATTTTGAACAAGATTTTGAACTTATACTGCTTCATAAGTAATAGTTTAGAAATGAAGAACATGTAACTATTTAAAACATTTTACAGGAATGATCACGAAACCCAGTTTAAAATGCACAGATATAAGCAATGATTCTCACACTTAAGGTTAAGACTTCACCATTTTGTCACCTGTTTTTATGAAGACACACCTTGGTCTAGTGGTTAAGGCACCAGATTAGAAACTCTGAACTCTAGTCTTGCCTTTGGCACAAAGCCAGCTAGGTGACATTGGCCCAGTCACTTTTCCTCAGCCCTAGGAAGCAGGCAATGGCAAACTTCTTTTGACATCTTGCCAAGAAAATTGCAGGGACTTTTCCAGGCAGCCTCCAGGAATCAACACTGACTTGAAGGCATGAATATAAATAGTTATGTATTCCTGAATAGATCTACATGTTATTTCTTTCCATCCACATCTCTCTCCTGAGTTAAAAATGGAAAATGGCATCTTTTCTGATCAAATAGCCTACAGATTACGTGTTGAGCTTTCCTCTGGTCCCAAAGGACTCTTGACTTTAAGTGAGCAAGCAGACAAAAAGATAAATAAGCACCAAATGTCACTGTGGCACAAGAGGTGCCTGTCAAGAGTTTGTTTAATACTTTTGTTTTATATTTGGTAGACTAATCTTATATTGAATGAAAAAGAAAAAAAACATCTGAAGAGACAATACTCTTCAAAAAAGCAAAACAAAACCCTTCCTAAAAGTTCTGGACAAATATTGTTTAATATTTTGTTCATTGCATTAAGCACCAGAAAAAAAAATGATATATCAACCGTAGAAAGACCATTAAAAAAACCCGGAATCCTATTTTCAACTTACTTTTTCAGAGAGACTCATCTGCTTCAATATCTCTCTACTGCAAATTCAACACAGATTCAGAAGCATTTTGTTCCCCATCAAACAGAATTTCCCTCTGCCTACTCCTGATAAGAAATTTAAAAAAATCTTACAATCAAGGGCTCCCGATTGATATCATGAAGGTCTAATGAAAGGATGTAGTCTTTGCTCCCCACATACATTCGGTCATGATCTTCATCCTTCAGCAAGATTCGGTAGTCTGTTGAGTTGAGAAGGAAATTGAAGAAACGTGCAGTTCCAGTGGCCTTCAGCTCTACAGGAACAAACACAAGGAAAAGCCTGTATTAATTGTCTTCTATCCTGATTCCAAAAAACAAACATTTGGGAATAGTATGCTTGATTGAGGAGAAATCAACATGCTCCCCAAAGTCAGTAAGACATTTAACTCTTAAATATAGCAATATACATGTGTGCATAGACCTGAACAAATTATTAAAAGAAACACTCATCTTGCAGCAATGCTATGTGTAAATATAGCTTATTTTATGAGCCGTGGTGACGCAGTGGTTAGAATGCAGTATTGCAGGCTGCTTCTGCTGACTGCTGATTGCCAGCAGTTTGGCAGTTCAAATCTCACCAGCTCAAGGTTGACTCAGCCTTCCAGCCTTCCGTCCTTCCAAGGTGGATAAAATGAGGACTCAGATTGTTGGGGGCAATATGCTGACTCTGTAAACTGCTTAGAGAGGGCTGTAAAGCACTGTGAAGCGGTATATAAGTCTATTGCTATCTCATGAGACCCCCATCAACTCAGATTTAGCTTGAATTATTGAAAACTGAGGGTTTCCACTCAGTGGTGGGATTCAAATTTTTTTTACTACTGGTTCTGCGGGCTTGGCTTGGTGGGTGTGGCTTGGTGGATGTGGCAGGGGAAGGATACTGTAAAATCTTCGTTCCCGCCCCACTCCAGAGGAAGATTACTGCAAAATCCCCATTTCTTCCCAATCAGCTGGGACTTGGGAGGCAGAGAATAAATGGGGGCGGGGCCAGTCAGAGGTGGTATTTACCGGTTCTCCGAACTACTCAAACTTTCCGCTACTGGTTCTCCAGAACTGGTCAGAACCTGCTGAAACCCACCTCTGTTTCCATCTAACTCTTATTATTTTCTACTAAATTATACTCAGTCTGTGAGGCCCAAGAACATCTATGATACGTATGAGAAAAAATAAATAAAAAAGCATTTCTATAAAACATTCTGCAAATTAAAGAATAATATTCAACTGTTAAAAACACCAGTATGAGAATCAGACTTCTGTTCAGTCTTACATACGATGAAACAACCCAGCCTCATATTGGATATTCATTGTATTCTTTTCAATAGGTGTCAAATTTGGAACTGAGCATTTGAAAAATGGGATTTCACTTCCTAGCATGTTAGTTATATGAAAAAGGGTTTTTCCAGTTCTGGCCTCCTTGCAAATCATGCATACTGAGGTTGTCCAAGCTTTGCCAAGTAACTGTGTGCAAAAATCTTCATATCAAGAACCAGTTCAGTTTTTTCTTCTGGACTATGCTGATCCAGCCATTCTGGGAGGTGGGGTTGGTCGGCTATTTTTATAAAAATACATTTTCTGAAAGGGAAAATGATTCGTGGTTTAGCACCGATTATAAGAAACATTTTTTATAAAGCTTGGGCTTTTTTGTTTAAGAGTGAGAAACTAACAATCTTCCAAAAATTGCTAACTAAAATTGCCAGCAGCCTTAGGTAGCGTAGCATGATTAATAATGAGTGATGATGGAGAGCCCTAAAAATCTCACTCTTAGTCTAAGTAACACGCTTTGAGACTCTGTCTAAGTCCTACTCCTTTTTCTGATTATTTTCTTGGAATTAGCCTTTTGTTTGTCTGACCTACCTTCCTAATCCGTTGTTGCTTCTTTAGTCTTTAACTTCTTAGTGATGTTAACTATGTATTTATTTGTCATGGCCCATCTAATTCATATTCTGGAACTCTGTTCCACTCTCTTTTCTCTGGCCTATTTGGATTAATGATCGTCTTCCCATTCTCTTTAACTATCTACATATAGAAATGGATCTCAAGTTCAATGGAAGAAATTTAAATTAACCTCAACCTATAGAGCAGGAATGTCAGCATTGGATAGGTTCTCTATAGAAGAGGAGATTAGGCAAAGTTTGGGAAGGCTACGTTCTGCCCCTAAATGTGTTGCGTATGAATAAATTATTTTCTTTTTCTCTAAATCTCCCTATTTAACTCAGCTTGGGAACAAAATAGTGTCACAGTTTATCCATATGTATTATCATATCAGATGTACATGTTTGTAAATGAATTTTAGGTGTTGCTGTAAAAAATATCCTACATTTACAGAGTCTATAAAGATCAGCTCCAAGGAGACCCGATGCCTGAGACTGATTTCACACCTTGATTCCACTCACACTTTACTCTTCCTGACAACTTCAAATAAAAGCACACTGATAATTAACAGCAGTTCCTTTTACAATGTACTGACACTGAATTTTAACCTGGAGGAATATGAAGGTAAGCAAATCAATACAGCGAGGAATCATCATTTCACTCAAACGAGATCTTTCCTGGAAATAAATCTCCATGGAAATTGGCCTTCCAACTTATCGAGAGCAGAGAGGGCAGCTTTAGCTGCTGCAAAGTGTTTGATAATTGCCACTGAATGTTCCCTACACCTCTGTACAATATGTCAATATAATTACCTTTTAAAAACAACAAATAATTAATTTAAGCTTTGAGGAAGCTGTTTGCCAAAACTGCCAGTGAATTAATTACATAGCCGGGCACTGAGCCCACACAGGTCCTTTGTTTGTGAAAGTGTGCTGTTCAGTGTGGAAAGGGGCATAAGACTATGCAGGTTTCCCACAGTGAACCTCTTGTCAGTGCAGTGTCCTAGGCAGAGACACCGTTCTTAATTTGGACAAGTTCTTTTAAGAAGGAAAATTGGAGCCAACACTTATTCAGAATTCTGTTCTCACTTCTGGTTTGAGGATTATTGAATAGTTTGTTTCCTCAACTATTATTATATTATAATAGTTTAAATTATTGTATTATCATCAAGAGGCTGTAAATACTGCAAAAGCCAGTCTATAGCAGACTTCCACATACATTAGCTGTCAATTCTTCCATCTGTTGGTGGGATGGTCTGGGAGTTGTAGTCTACATAAATAGCCTGACCTCAGTTATTTAGCTTACCTGTTAAGACTCATTCCATGTTTTCATGGCAATTATTATGTGATCTGGGGCAGTGTGGTGGCTCAATGGTTAAGATGCTGGGCTTTTCAGCTGGAAAATCAGCAGCCCACCCTAGTTTGAGATCTGAGTGGCATGTGACAGGGAGAGCTCCCGTCCTTGCCCCAGCACTTGCCAACCTAGCAGTTCGAAAGCATGCAAATGCAAGTAGATAAATAGAGGTACCACTTCGATGGGAAGGTAACCAGGGATTCACTAAGAGTAACTAAGGTTGAGAAACATTGGCTTACACTGAAACTGCCCTACCTTTCTGTGATATCCACACAATTTGGATAATTACTACCAATGAAGCCATGATGCCTCCAACAGAAGAGCATCCAGCAGACCAGCCAATGATTTAAACCAGAAGGAAGAAGCCGGTAAAAATGAGGCTGATCAGAAAGGCTTTAAGAGACCAAAGGAGAAAGGAGGAATTGTACAGGTGCTGAGGAAAATCATAGCTGAATTCAACTGGTTAACAATTAAGCACATTATCTGGTTGTGAAGCAGATTGACTGTACCTTTCCAGCTGTCAAACACATATTTCCACAGGACAATTAAGCCACATCTTCTTTATTATTTCAATAGATGAAATGTATTCTGAATCCAAACATAATAAGGGATTGACCGTTTTCGTGTGATGAATTAATACACCAAAAAAATTAATAAAGCACACCAGTCATCTTACATTCAGATAATTGAGATTGTCCATTCCATCTTTCCCCATATTGCTACTTTCTGTTAGGGATTTGTTTATAATTCAGTGCAATTTATTATGTCACATTTACAGAAATTATTGACAAAAGTATGGGGACACTTGATAATTACATTCCAAATGCACAACTTTGAGAATGTGCTACAGTCCTGCCCACACATCCTAGAGCTTTGAGTCCTGCAAAGTTAAACTAATTTAGAGCTGCATTTCTCTAATATGCTCAGTCCAAACTTCTTTCTAAACAAAAGTAATATCCAGAGTAAAGCCTTTTGTTAAAGAAAGAGGAGGGGGAGGAAGAGAAATAAAATGTAGCCTCAACTCTCCACTTTAAGAAGAAGCAAAAGATAGAAATGAGAAGTGATTTGTGCTAAATATCAACAATTCCTCCCTCATACTGTTTAACAATGGCAGCAAAAATATTATTCTCTGCTTCCCGCCAAATTATGCTGCTTCAGCAGAAGATATCCAAAAGTGGGGCTTAATGTTAGAGAATTGTGAGAGTGTTTAGTTCTAGAACTAAAACAAATTCCAGAACTATAATAATTAGTACTCCAATAAACAATTTCATAAAATATTTATTGAAAAGTGAGCCTTGCCTTATTATCTAGTGCCAGCTGGTAACTCTGGAGTTACTAGTAAAGAAAAAAAAAGCTGTTTCTGCAACCTGAAATCAGTGTTTTATTTTAGACAGAAAAGCTTGAAACTGGGAGATTCATAAAGGAAAGAGATATTTCATATATCTATGTTAGTGAAACCCTTGGGATTCAGAAAAAAAGCCTGATGAATTTTCAGATTGCTGCTGGCTGGAGAGAGGAAGAGAATAGTTTGTTATTTTTTACATCAAGCAAAGCATAACGTATAAAGTCAAGAAATCTGAACATGATGTTAAGTAGCCAGTTATGAGGTGAATTGAGCCAGCAACAGAAGAATCGATCAATCGATCAATCGATCGATCGATCAATCAATCAATCAATCAATTTGTTTTTTATTTGCAGGCATAGCACATTCAAATGAAAATATAGCAACTCAGTATAAGCCATTTAAAACTATAAAGAGCATTATACGTGCAAGTAGAAAAATTGCTTCTTTGTTCATTGTTCAATAGTCTCCAGGAAGACACCCAAAATACCTGATAGATCCAACTACTAATGTTATTCCTCAGAACATAAAACTCCTAGTCCATACAAATGGTTCTTATGATGGGAAGTGAAGACAATTCTGCTGCTGGATGTGTGTGGTGATATGAGGGAGGCACTTTGAGATAAATCCAGGGGTGGGATTCAGGAGGTTCGTACTGATCAGGCAAACCAGTAGTTGTGACCTGTGGGT